TACATAGACCATGATCCTTTGCTCCATTTCAGTGCAGACTACAAGAAGAAATAACAGTTCTAAGCACTTTTAAGTGTTAGTTCTGTGGATTAAGTCTTGTCAAAGCATTTTAAGAGGAAAAAGTTGCAGCCTCCACAAAATATTGCAATAAATATCGTACCGTGAGATGTATATCGTGAAAATATCGTACCGAGAGATTTGGATATTGTTACATCCATAATCATGAGCCTCCCCATCATATCGTGAGCTTCCCCATGATATCTCAGTAAATATCGTACTGTGAGGTTCATACCGTGACGATATCGTATCATGAGACTTGGATATCGTTAAACCCCTAATTGTATCGTTTAATGTGATGATACAGTATCGATATTGTGGGCTGCTGCATCGATATGTTGCCAAGAGTATTTTGTTTTTGCCGGCATTTGTTTGTTTGTTTGTTTGTTTGTCTGTTAGCAACATAACTCAAAAAGTTATGGACCGATTTTGATGAAATTTTCAGGATTTGTTGGAAATGTGAAAAGGAAGAACTGATTTCATTTTGGGGGTGATCCGGAAGAAATCCTGGATTCTGGATCACTTTGAAATTTTAATTAACATTGTGGTAAATGGGGCCAAAAATTTTGTTTCTCAATATCTCGGTTAATTATTGACCAAACCCCATGAAATTTGACTCAGGGATGGACAATGGGATCCTCTTTCATATTCCAAAGGCTGATCCGGATCTGATCCAGAAGACTTTATCGCAATTTATATACAAAATGGGGGTAGTCCTTGGCGGAGGTCTGCGCTCTCTGAGTGCTTTTCTAGTTTTGTTATAGCCATACAGTTTTGTTGCTTGCTTAGAGAAAGAAAACTCGTTTATGCGACACATTTGACATTTTCACTGTTTTGATGATTAAAATGTTTGTGTTTCATATGAACTTTGCACAAGAAGTGGCTTAATAAAGGCTTTTAGTATCACAGTATCACGTATCAATTCAATTTGAAATATATCGTATCAAATCAAAAGTGCACTGTATCGAGATATGTATCGTATCGTATTGGTAACTTCTTAATGACACCCAGCCCTAAATGCCTTACTGTGAAACATTACAGACAAAGCAATAACATCTCAACATCTCATGAAGCGTTTGACGCACCCTCCACCAGAAACGTTACACAGTGCACCTTAATGCTAAATTAATGCAGTGAATCAGAAACGTGTAAAATGTGCTTGTGAATGTTTTGGTCGAGGTTCAAGTATTTCACAAAACTTGAATAGACAGAAGAAAATATCTCTTTTAAGATTTATCCAAAACCATTGATTTGTACAAGAAATGTCCCAGTTGTCCCTATTTTTGACCAATTTGTTACTTGCAAACAGTAAAGAGAGACATAAATTGTCATTTGTTTAGGTAAAATACATAAAAGCTGCTTAAAAATGACCAAAACACAAAGAAAATGTGATTATACTGTCTCAAATGTTAGTCATGAATGGGCCGAGTGCAGAACAGTTTTCCTTAATTACACAATTGTGTCAGTTTTTATTATTTTTACCAAACAGAGGTGGGGACTTGCAAGTCGTGACTTGGACTCAAGTCAGACTTGTGTCACTATTTTTAAGACTTGAGACTTGACTTTATAACATGGACTAAGACCTGGGACTTGTGGTGAAGATCGGTCAGTCTTCGTTCCTACTCTCACCTGTGGTCATGAGCTCTGGGTAGTGACCGAAAGGACGAGATCGCGGATACAAGCGGTTGAAATGAGTTTCGTCCGCAGGGTGACTGGACGCTCCCTTAGAGACAGGGTGAGGAGCTCAGTCACATGGGAGGAGATCGGAGTAGAGCCGCTGCTCCTCCTCAAGAGGAGCCAGTTGAGGTGGCTCGGGCATCTGTTCTGGAGGCCTCCTGGGCGCCTTCCTCGGGAGGTGTGCTGGGCGTGTCCCACCGGGAGGAGGCCCCGGGGAAGACCCAGGACATGTTGGAGGGACTGTGTCTCTCGGCTGGCCTGGGAACACCTCGGGGTCCCGAGGGAGCTGGAGGAGGTGTCTTGGGTGAAGGAAGTCTGGCAGTCCCTGCTTAGACTGCTGCCCCGGATAAGCGGAAAAAAATGGATGGATGGACTTGGGACTCGATTTGGACTTGAAGGTTAATGACTTGGGACTTGACTCAGCCTTGTGGCCTGTCACTCGGACTTGAGGTGAAAGACCTGAGACGTGCAAAACAACGACTTGATGTGACCTCTGTTACCAACCATCCCAAACTGGATGTGTCCCAGTTTTTGATCTGAAAATCTGGTCACCCTAAGCAGATATCATACTTTGTACTTCTATTTGAGTAATGTTATTTTAAAGTACCTTTTATTTGAGTATAATTCCTGGCTCCTCATTTCACCTGATTTTTGCGTAGTTTTTCTATGCCACGAAAACTAATATTTCAGATGTAGTTTACGTATGGCAAAGAAAAGAAATCATTTGTGTATTTTCGAAAATGTTGAGTTACATCAAACGTTTTCCTTGTATCTTTGTTTGTATTTGGAGTGTTATTTTTAGAAGTGGGTCACAGAAGAGTTTAAGCCCCATAGTAAATATCTTTAGTCATGGTGAGAGTTTCCATCGGCAGTGACAAAACGCTCTGGTTCAGAATGTTACAGCTCCATCATTTCTGTTCACAGCGAGAGCTTCATAACAGCTTCAGGATCCAGTTCAAAGTAACAGCTCAAATGAGACTCTTTAGTTCGCTCCAGGCTAAATCAAGAAGGGAAATATGAAAGGGCCTGTCTTTTGCTATTTTCTGATCTTATAATGTTGTTTCCTCATTAAAAACTAAACTCCAAACACTTTCACTGGAATAATTTGGATGAATTCAGCCCTGGAATTGCCGATCTCTACTGAACTAAAGTAATGGGTCGCTGTTAACTTGAAATCCAAATCCACTTTATTTTGTATTGAACATTTTACAAACAAAGCAGTTTCCAAAGTGCTGCACAGAGATCAGAAATTGAAGAGAACAAAAAGGTAAATTGCTGAAATTTGTTCACACCAGCCCTAAAACAATAAAACCAATCAAATCAAATAAAAGCAAAAAACATAAAAATCATAAAATAGCAGTAAATAATAAAATAAATAAAAGACACAGAGCACCACACGACTCATGCAGTGTTAAAAGCCAAAGAATAAAAGTGGGTTTAAGCAGTGTTGGGGAGTAACAGATTACATGTACCGGAGTTACTTAATCAGAGTACAAATTGTGAGTAACTATATTCAGTTACAGTTACTGTTTCAGTGAGTGGTAATTGGATTACAGTTACTTTGTTGAAACAAATGGATTACACTGTAGTATTTTCCCGGTTTCACATTTTGGGCTAAACCAGGACTAAATAAGGACTAAAACCAGGTCTAAACTAGATCTAAACCAGGTCTAAACCAAGACTAAACCAGGTCTAAAACCAGGTCTAAACTAGATCTAAACCAGGTCTAAACCAAGATTAAACCAAGACTAAACCAGGTCTAAACCAAGACTAAAACCAGGTCTAAACTAGATCTAAACTAGATCTAAACCAGGTCTAAACCAAGACTAAACCAAGACTAAAACCAGGTCTAAAACCAGGTCTAAACTAGATCTAAACTAGATCTAAACCAGGTCTAAACCAAGACTAAACCAAGACTAAAACCAGGTCTAAAACCAGGTCTAAACTAGATCTAAACCAGGTCTAAACTAGGTCTACACTAGATCTAAACCAGGTCTAAACCAAGACTAAACCAAGACTAAAACCAGGTCTAAAACCAGGTCTAAACTAGATCTAAACCAGGTCTAAACTAGGTCTACACTAGATCTAAACCAGGTCTAAACCAGGACTAAACCAAGATTAATCCAAGACTAAACCAGGTCTAAACCAGGACTAAACCAAGACTAAACCAAGACTAAAACCAGGTCTAAACTAGATCTAAACCAGGTCTAAACCAAGACTAAAACCAGGTCTAAACTAGATCTAAACCAGGTCTAAACCAGGACTAAAACAGGATTTAACAGGACTAAACCATACCCTGTGGACCGTGTCTCCTCGTCTTCTGTCAATAATATTTTTAATACGGTCAAATAAAGTCTGGGCTTTTTATTTTCTTTTAGCAGATAAAACATCTTATGTTACGATATCCTGGTCTTTGCTTCTCTACAGCAAATCAAGTAATCCAAAGTATTCAGATTACGTTACTCACTTTAAGTAATTTAATGGATTACGTTACAAACTACATTTTGGTGTATGTAATCTGTAATCTGTAGGGGAATATATTTTAAAAGTCACCTTCCCAACACTGGTTTTAAGATGAGACTTAAAATTCTCCACTGTGGGACTGTTTGGACGTGGGGAAGCAGATCGTTCCAGAGTTTGGGGCCGGTCACAGAGAAGGTTTAAGGTTGTAGTTTTAAGTCTCATTTTAGGCACCACGACCTGGAGCTGGAACTCCGGTCCGAGGTCCAAGACGTACTGTAGGGCCAGTCCATTAAAAGCTTTAAAAAACAAACAATAAAATCTTGAAATCAACTCTAAAACGAACTGGAAGCCAACGCAACGACGCTAAAATCTGGGTAATGTGCTCACGTTTTTTGGTTCCAGTAAACAGTCGGGCAGCAAAATTTTGGACTAACTGTAAACGAGAAAGTGTGTGGAGGCTAATGCCGGGAAAAAATGTATTACAGTTGTCTAAACGAGAGGAAATAAAAGCGTGCGTGACCTGTTCAAATGATATAAAATACGGCTTCATGACATCACAAGGTGGAACAGAGCATTTTGATTGAAACAAAGTGCAACTCCAGGTGTGTTTTTGATGAGATGACAACATTATAACATGGCTAAAACCTCACAAGAGTCAAATTTTGTGTAATATATGACCTTTAAATGACCTTTTGAGTTTGTGCTCGTTATCACAATATCGGCCGACACAGTAATTAATGAAGCGAATTTCTGTGTTCTGTGTTTTTAAATAGTCGTTGTCTTGTGTTTTCTGTCTGCAGCAGCCCAGCAGCCTTACACCATGTGCTTCCGGGTCAAGTTTTACCCCCACGAACCAATGAAAATCAAAGAGGAACTCACCAGGTACTGCTCTGAAAACACTTAAGTCTGTGTGATGTGAGAGAGGCACTGTTGTTGTTGTTGTGAGTGATGTGGGTCACCTTTGAGTATTGTAGAAGTAAAACAAAAAACATCTACCATATTTTTCCGACTCCAGAGTGTAAGTCACACCAGCCAAAAAATGCGTAATAAAGAAGAAAAAAGCATATATAAGTCACACTGGACTATAAATTGCACTTTTTTGGGGAAATGTATTTTATAAAATCAGAGACCAAGAACCGATATTTCAAGTTCTAGTAAAAACAACAGAACAGAGAACAACAGACTGTTAACGTCACATATGAACAGTTCTTCAGATAAACTATAACATAAACAACAGAACAAGTTTAACAAACCCCATCTCACTCCAAATCACTAAATCTATTCAGTTTTTCGTCCTCGGTGTCACTTCTGAGCAACTCCGCGACCTCCCGAGGTAAACAGACGCCGCTTCCTCTTCTGTGTCGCTGACTCAGCATCAGTTCCAGTTAGAATTATTCTGGCCTTTCTGAATCCCGACAGGATGGTTTCGGTGTCACTGAAGTCCAGGCTTTGTCCATCCATCCAGTGACTTCCAGAAATGTTTCATGTCGCACCCTCCCAGTGTCACAAGTTTCTCGCTCACTCCAAACTTTCTTCCTGCTGCTCGATTACTGTTTTCAGCTGAATATTTCACTACTTGCAGCTTGATTTTGTTGTTGGGGGCATTTGTGTTCAGTCTTCTCAGTCGTCTTTATAAGTTTGTTCAAGTTTTACATTTTCAGTGGTGCAGAAGTAATGTTGCGATCGACTGACATGATACAGACAGGACAGAGGCTCTTTCTGCAGGAGACATGCGCAGTAGAGCGAAGTGACAGTGGTACAAGAGGAACAGGAGCAGCAGATACTGACACACAAGACTAGAACCTCTCGCCGCTTCAGTGTGAAAATTTTAATATATAAGTCTAAGTATAAGTCGCAGGAAACACCCAAACCATGAAAAAAAGTGTGACAAAAATATGTTAATTGTAGTTTTTGTAACAAGTATTGAGATTGGGATTACATTTGTGATATATGTTTAAAAAGTAGGTTCCTGTTCAACGTGCAGATTGTAAATAACTCTAGAAAAGAGCGTTTTCACAGAATCTTACAGCTAATCATAATGAGGGTTTGAATAGGGCCCGGGAAAGACCGCTAAAAGGTAGAACAACATTATGGTAGAAAGCTCTGAAAATTGCATGATACCTCCTCTTTAAGTTTTTTTCATCTTTTGTGGTTGAAAATACCAGATTTAGGCATTATTTTAAATTTTGTTGACCTTCAAATAATAAATCAGATGTTATAGTATAATTGTTTTTATTTCTGATATTGGGCCTGGTCTATTCCCCGTCCCTATGCGCACTTCTCTCTACACAAATCCAGTGTGCGTTTGTGTTCTGTTTGCGACTCGTGAGGGGAGTCCCGGGAGTCTGCGAGAAGGACAAACGCTGTAAAAGGTCGTGTTATTTTAGCTCTTTTAAACAGGACAATGCTCCAGACCGCTGCCTCATAAATAAACCAGACCTCCCGTTTCCTCTCTCCGCACCGACCTGTGAAAAACACACCCGTAACCACGGCAACAGGTGTCCCCAGATTAACCCGCAGCATCACCTCGTCTCCGTGGAAACGCACAGGGCTCCACGACCGAGTGCAGTTTTAAAGGCGCACTGTGTAACCTTTTCTAGAGGAGGTTTTGTCATCACTTACTGGTCACCATGGGGATGTTATTCTTATTGCTTTGCCTGAAATGTTCCACAGTAGGGCATTAAACATACTTAGTTATCTTGCATTTATTGAATTACAGACGCTTCTATTGCCAAAATCAAAACTGTAAATTCTGGACTATAAGCTGCTACTTTTTTCTCACACTTTGAACAGATGCGGCAAAGAAAATGATGTGGTGAATATATGGAATATATTTGAATATTATTTGTTTGGCACATTGTTCATTTGTATAAACTGGACATGTCAAACTCAGGCCCGGGGGCCAAATTTGGCCCACGATATAATTTTATTTGGCCCGTGAGATTATATCAAATATGTATTAGAGCTGGTTCGCTGGCTACAGATAGACTATAGAGAAATTATTTATTTAAAATGTTGATTTTATATTGTGCTTGGATTCAGTGTTTAAGTGAAACTTTATTAAACATTTATTTTAATAAGAAAAGGTTTAACATTACATATCTCAAAGGAAGAGAAAGCATGCAGATGTTGTTGAAATTTCTCAGTAAATATTTAGTTTGACCCATGACTTAGTCCCAGTTTTTAATTTTGGCCTCTGTGAATTTGAGTTTGACACCCATGATATTTACGGTCTATGGTTTGGTAACACAGAGGATACGCGCAGCTTGAGTGCAGAAAACGTCGCTGTCTGTGCGGTTACACTTTGATCTAGGGTTAATATGAAGTTGCTACACTAGCTAGAGATGTTGTCAGCGCACTCAAACAGTTTATGGCCTTGTGATAAAATAAGTTATGATGCTAAATGAACATTAGTGAGGGGGATACGTCTTACCCATGTGCGTAAATGACGTCTCTAACTTCAGTAGCCGGACGCCCACTCATACCTGATTGACAGAACTAACCCCGCCCCCGAGAGAGTCTGTAATCTGCTGAAATCCTCCAAGACTCTGACATGATACAGACAGGACAGAGACTCTTTCTGTAGGAGACATGCGCAGTGGAGATGTTGTGAGGAAGATGCTCATTTGATTGTGTTTTGAACAGTTATTTTGCGCTTCATACACACACCCTCCTCATGGAAAACACACGAAGGAATACAGATGATGCAGCTTTTAAGTTAAAGATGATTGATGAGGCTGTGGAATAAGGAAACAGAGCTGCTGCACGTGAGCTCGACATCAGTGAGTCGATGATGAGACGTTGGCAACGGCAGTTTGATGAACTGAATCAACGCAAAAAGACGACAAAATCTTTCAGAGGCGATAAAAGCAGACGGTCCGAACATGAAAACGTTCTTGAAGACGTGGACACCTGCAGGTTATATTCAGGTGCGGCCTATATATGTACAGTTTTAAAAAATGTGTTAATATTTAGTCTATGCGGCTTATATTCAGGTGCACTCAATAGTCTGGAAAATACTGTACTTTGTCCTGTGGCTCTTTGGAGTTTAATGCCATACTGTGGAACATTCCAGGCAAAGTAAGGTTTTTAGAAAGGTTGAAAATCTAGAACCATCTAGAATCTAAAAACTTTAAAATTCCTCAAAATGTCATCTTGAAATTGGAAACCGAAACCCTGAATATCATCTCCAAGGAGACAACAAACCAGGGGCAGACTCTCGACTAGAAAATGAACTCTGCAAGTAGCAAATGGCAAAGGCTCCATGTTGCTGCTGCGTTTAATTCTGTTTAAAATGCGCTGACCCCGAAACTTGATCTCTGCAAACGTTTTCTGAATTGCATGTGATTCTTGCAGTTATTTTATCTCCTATTTTAATCTTCTCTCAATTTTTAAAGCTTCTGGACAAATTCAAAACTATGTGCTCTGACCTCAGTCTAAATTTTAAAACATAAAACTAAGCGCTGTTATAATATCTAAGGTTTCATTTGGACGTCTTTTTCAGAATAGTCCCGGTAACTCATAGTAGCAGCTCCTACACAGCAGCAGTGTAATGGTACATGTCAGGTTTCTCTTATCGCCATGGCAACACCGTAGTAGGACCATCGAGTCTGGAGGAGCGGCCGGTCACATGTAGTAAACTTGCACCTTATCGATGTCATTTTGTCCAGATGACAGAATTCATTTTTCTGTTGTAATGGAACCACCTGGACGACGCACACACACGGTGTTGTTTAACGTGTTTCTATCATGACAGAGGGGCAAATCATAAATCTCACCAGGCACTACACTGAGTCCTCGTGTGTGTGTGTGTGTGTGTGTGTGTGTGCAGGTATCTTCTGTACCTCCAGTTGAAGAGGGACATCTATCATGGCCGCCTGCTCTGCCCTTTCGCTGATGCTGCCTACCTGGGAGCCTGTATAATACAAGGTGAGTGTGTTACGAATGGGACACAGTGTTATTTTAGACTCACTCACTCAGGTTTTTTTTTGTTGTTGTTGTTGTTATTGCTTCATATAGATTAGATAAAATGATATTGATATTGTAAAAGCAGCTCCTTGTATCATAATGAGACCACTGTGTGCTTTCTGCGTTTAATCGTTTTTATCGCTGTCAAACAAAGGATTAATGCTGGTGTGCTGTTAGCATGCTTGTTGTTGCTGGCAATAGGCGAGTTTCAGCTGACGTCATTGGTATTAAAAGCCCGCGTTGCATGCTGGGAAATATTTTGGTCGGTGTTACGGCTCGCGGTCTGTCTCCGGCTCCGCATCGCCTGGCGCTCCCCGTTTGTATTACCGCGTGTATCTTCCGTATTTGCATGTCCTGTGTGGTACCTGCTATCTGACTGTTGGGCCGTGGTTCCGACGCTGTGGGCTGGCTCCGACGTCCCTTGTGCTGTGGTTGGAGGATTGACGTCCCGTTCCTCCAATCCCTACACATCAATCACCTCGACCAATAAAAGTGCTGTGCGTCTGTCCCTCCTGGCGGCTGGATGACAGTTTCAGTTCGCCCCTCACATCTGTAGACGTTCGTTAGTTGTCTCTCTTTGATATTGTAAAGTGTGTTTATATTACTACAAATTTTAGTTTTGCCAGTTTGGCTCGTCCCTTGGGCAGTTGTTTTTTTTTTTTGTTGCTGTTAGCTACCTTAGTTTAGGAGTGGTTTAGTTAACTTTGGGGAATTCTGATTTTTCACATGTAAAATGTTTTTTTTTGTCATTGTACTTACCTACATCACTTTATAAAACCCGTTTACTTTACATCATATCTGGTTTGTGTTACTTTCCTTTGTCCCTAGCACTGGGTTGTAACAGTCGGAGGCAAGAAACATGGTAGCGGTCAAACACAGTGCGTAACCTCACGTATTTATCCCTATAATGGTAAATTCCTGCTGCATTATCGGATGCACAAATAGAAGCACGGAAGAAGGAAAATGTCTTTTTCGTATTCTGAGTGAAAAGAACCACTAACGGTGAATTAAACGGCTTTCAAACATTCGCAGAGCAAACGTAGAAGATCCTAACAAACCGTGGACAGCAACAAGTTCAACAACACATCGAGACTCTTGGAGGTTTTCATCTTTTCTGCTGTGAATGGCCCAGGAGTTTCCACCAAGTCATTGTGGATATCGCCCAAGTGAATATTTGTCCAGGTAGTTGGCGATTCTGACCAGAAATTTGGTTTGGTCCACCTTTTGTCGGGGTTGAAAAGGGTGATTTGGCGTCTGTCGATGCTTATGACCAATTTCTGGTCAAATGGTCTTGGGTCCTCTGCCGTTAGAGTGGATAAATAACAGGGATCAATACCCTTTACGTGCTTCCGTCTGTTTCTTGCCGCCGACCAAAATAATTCCCAGCATGCAACGCGCGCTTTTGTCAACAATGAAACTCGCCTATACGACGGAGCAGTAACACCACCAAAAAAAGTTTTTTTTCCAGTCACCTGTTATTGAATAATACTGCATATTGCTTAATAGATAAGTTAATACCATATTGGGAAGAATTACAGTAAAATCAATAAGACGAGCAGGTGATGTACCCCCTTCTAAAAAAAGTTACATATTGTACCTTTATTTATTATCACAAAATAGTTTGTATTATATAATAATATATATTAAAAGGGAAATCCAAGAGATAAAACATTATGGTGGCTGAGTGGTGAACACTTAGTCAGCGCTACCTACTGCCTCTGCTCAATTTCATTTCTCTCTAGCGACTAGGTCAGGAATCAAAATACACTAGACCAGGGGTGGGCAAACTACGGCCCGGGGGTCATATGTGGCCCTTTAATCTTCTTAATCCGACGCGGCAAACTTGATAATATTCAGTGTTTTTCAAAGTCATTTCAATAAATAGTAAATATCGTGGGACCTGAAAGACAGATATTTTGTTGTAATGCTTTGTAATGATTTTCAATTATGTGATATTTCAACAACATGGGATATATTTTCTACATATCACATATTATTTTTTTCTCTTACGAGGTAGATTACTAAAAAACTCCATCCATCTGCTCCTGGTCCGGCCCTTCTGTCAAATTTTAAAACCCTTTTTTGGTCCTCGAGTCAAGAAGTTTGCCCACCCCTGCACTACACTTTTTGCAAGAATCCCGGAAGTGTGAGTTCGGGCACCAGCCAATCAGCAAAGAGCCATACAGTCTGTGTAGGCAACGATTCCCGAGATTGAGGATGTAAAGCTGGAACAAGAGAATGTTTGGTGAATTTTATCAAGGGGAAAGAAGTTATTATCCTTCTTCCTACAGGATTTGGGAAAAGCTTAATATACCAGTTAGCTCCATTAGCAGCACATCACATACATCACATCACCAAACAGCAGTGATTGGTTAAATAAAAAAAGTACCCGCCTACCATTGAGTGAACGAATCCTAATGGTGCGAGGTCAAACTGTTTCTACGAAGTGAAACCGCCTAATGAATCAGACTAGCGAGCACTAACTCTGCACAATAAAAACACCACTCAATTCCTGTTTCTGTGGGAGGAATTTGCCAGTTTCTCGCTGTGTCTGGGTGGTTTTCTCCGAGCTCGCCGGTTGGTCCTGACCAAGTCTAGATCTGGAGATAAGTCCCTGAGTTCACGGTTCCCCACAGGCTGCTCCACCGACAGTGATGGAGGAGTGAACATTAGAGATTGATTTTCCCTCATGAGAGCTGAATAAAGTAGGAAACAAACCAAAAACTGCTCTACTGGCAATTTGCTGATCCAACTTTTTCAGTTCCAGGGGCAACATCGATACTCTGACTTTAAGTATTTGCCGATACCAGTGTAGATATCACAGTTAAAACACATCACAAGAGAACCAACTGTGTTATTTATAGGGATGGGCATTCGATGAAATGTTCTTAATCGATTGTCGGAAGAATTAGGAAGAATTAACGATCGATTATCGATTAATCATTAACGTTTTTATATTAAAATGATCATCATTATTATTACTATCTGCACTACTAATCTGCATAAATAAACTCAACTTTACGACATATAAACCGTAACGACTCTAGAGCCACATCAATCCGTTTTGCGCAACTCTCACAGAAACAAAATTTAAAACCGCATTGCTAATTTGCATAAACTAAGCAAAGATAAAACTACAGCTCTTGTGTCGCTGATGCGGTTCAACTTCTGTCGGATTAAAAGACATGACTCAGGTGAATACAGGTTAGTGTGACCAGATTTGCGTTTGTTAAAACCAGGACACCGTACGGGGGGAGGGAGGTGGGGACTCGTCATCGACATTGAGCGACTCTCACCTGGCAAAACTTTTTCCCACTGGACACAGAAACATATGTGCTGCTTTGTACACTGTGCACATGGACTCAAACTTGTCCCGAACACAATGGAAAGCGTGGAATTTCTTGTACAAATCATTGTTAAATACGAATTTGTGCTTCGGTACGTTGCAGACTGACCGAATGTTTCTGTTTGCTCGCTCCTTCTGAGTGCAGAGAGACACATGTACACACCTGTTTCGTCACAGCAACCTACATTCGGTTTGTTGATTAAAATCAACGTAATCGATGGAAATTCTTAATGATCAATTATCGATTAATCGATTAATCATGCCCATCCCTAGTTATTTATCCTTCAAATCACTTCTGAACAGCTTTGTATGAATAAAAGCTCAAACATTCTAAGCCAAAATCAGTCCGTAAATAGTCTTATTACATCCAATTAAAAGCCCAACCAGGATATCGGTCTAACCTATAACATGGAACCAGCTCATGTTTCAATATCTGCGCCAATTACTCCAGTATCGGTATCGGTGAATCTCTAAACGCTACACGTGCTTGATAAACTTCACAGTAAAACCTCGGTCTTACTCGTGGCTTTAACGTGAACACCCTCCTGACCTGCTCTCCATTTAAGCAAGTACAAATCCTGTTACTTATCCTTCTTTCTGCTCTGCACCGTCTCCTCACTCTGCTCCTGTAATCCTGTGTTATAAACCCAAGCACGAGCCCTGGGAAAACCAATAGACCGAGTTCTGCCTAATTAGAGGGAACGTTTAATATGGAGCCACTCAATTTGATAGGGATTAACTGTGGAAGCCAGCTGAGTCTCTTATTGGCTCACGTCCCCAGAGACCGGCGCGCGATTGGCTGAATAATCCTGTATCGCTGCGTCTCATTGGCTGCTCTGTTAACGAGGGCAGGTCCCACTTTGTCGCACGGCTAATTATACGGATAGAGATTATGGTGTAATTAAACTCCAGGCAAGTTTGGAGGTAAACTTTGTCATAATTATCATGAAATATCGAGTTTTGACCTGGAATAGAATTTATATTGTTTTCACTGTTTTGTATTAAAGGGCCTAGATCCAATTTTTCAGACGTATTTGGGCAAAATTTGTTTTACCAAAGAACTGACATTGTATAAATCAAAATAAGTCAACTGTGTGATATCTACATATTATACAGACACATTTCTATACACATACACATTATTATATCTATTTTAGGGCTGGGCAAAAATAAAAAATATTAATTGCATGAGTTCCTGTGATTAATCATGATTAATCACATGTTATACACAGAAACCTTTAATGAATTTAAAAGTAGCATGGAGCACTTTTATTGGAAATGTAAACATTGTGCAAACAGCATTTCTTTATACAGGAGCAGAGCACTGGTCTGTTTATGTTTATACTTCTTCTTTTGGAGAATCTCACTCAAAAAAAGAAACAATTTCGATGCAGTTTGTTGATTCCTTGAATTTGACTTAATGAATTGAATTCAAAAGTAAAGTGCATGTGCTCAGCAGCAGTAAAATAAAGTATTCAGTGTAAAACTCAACTGAAAAAATCTAATTAAACCAAAAACAAAACTGAAATGTATTTCCACTGCCAGAGCTTTAATGTTTCCTGTTTGATATAAAAATGAGAATCTCAGTGAAAAACAGTCACAGAAAACAGAACACACAACCAGAAAACACTTTAGTGCAGTTTGTCAGTTCCTAGAACTTTAAAAAAAAAACTTTTGTGAACAAAGCCAGTTGCTAAGGCATACAAGATTATTATTATTATTAAGAATGCAGTCGCTGGCACCGGCTTCTCACGGAAGAAAAGTGACACCGACAGGGAGGTGGGGGGTTGTGATGAAGAGCGATGGACCACACGGTGGTGCCCCAAAAACTCTCGGTGCCCCGAAAACTCTCGGTGCCCTACACACACCAAGAGCTGCGTTTATGTGCATGTGGCTCTGACACGTCACATCTCACGTGGTTGACCAAAGCCTCGCTCCACTTGTTTCACTGAATGATTTGCATCAGCAGAGTGTTTTGTGTTTAGTTGATATTTCAGACTCGTGAAACTCTGGTGATAAGATAATTCAGTGTTGCAGTGTTACAAATGACTTTATCTGTGTCGACTGCACCGTCTGAAGAACTTTAAAATGAAAATGGCCACGTAAAAGCTCCTTTTATTTTTTCACACATGTTTAACACACAAACCTGCAGATTTAGGGTGAATCCTTCTCTCACCACTGTGATGTCATGAGGTGGTACAGGAAGTGCTCCACTGTGATTTTAACTCCATACACCTTCACTAAAAAACTTGAAAACTACCACTTCATGACATCACAAGGTGGAACAAAGCATTCTGAGCTTTGTAGAAGTAGACAGACTAATATTTCAGGATTACTCAAACATGTGTGAATGAAACAAAACACAACTCTATTTTGTGTAATATAAGACCTTTAACTTGAATAATCATTTGAAATCATGGGTTCTAAGATTTTGTGTCAGCCTTGTATGAAGGATTATATCTCATGTGTTTTTTTTCTCTCTCTCTTTCAAAGACCTTGTATGCTTTAATTGTATTCGTCCTCTTTGTGTAATAATGAAAAGTCCTTGTCGTCCTCTGTAGCGGAGCTGGGCGACTATGACCCAGAGGAACATCCTTCAGATTACATCAGAGACTTCAGACTTTTCCCCAAACAGTCTCTGAAGCTGGAACAAAAGACACAAGAATCATCACAAAAGACAGACATCCAAAAGACACAAGACAGAACTCAGATAAAGACACAAGACAGAACTCAGATAAAGACCCAAGACACAAGACAGAACTCAGATAAAGACAAAAGACACAAGACAGAACAAAAGACACAAGACAGAACTCAGATAAAGACAAAAGACACAAGACAGAACTCAGATAAAGACCCAAGACACAAGACGGACTCAGGTAAAGAAAGACGCAAGATAACAGGTATAAAACACGGACACAAGAAGGAACCCAGGTAAAGACCATGAATAGGGCTGGGTATCTTTAAAAAGTTGCTGATACCTGGAAACATAGGCCACGATACGATAAGTTTTTCGATACAGCGCAGTTTTCGTTTCAATACAATATATTTCAAAATGATTCGATACAAAACAAAGCCTAAATCATGGCTGTGATACTTAAAGTTTTTATTAAACCACAAGTTTGTACGAAGCTAATGTGAAAAACACCCATTTTACTCATCAAAACTGTGAAAATGTATTGCATAAACAGGTTCTCTTTCTCCAAACACAATTGAAAAGAAAAAGAAGAAGAAAAAAAGAAGAAGAAAAATGCAATATATTTGTCACAATGTTCCACTTTTTCTGATGATTTTCAGTGCGAGCCATTTCACACTGATAAATGTGTCATAATCAGTGTTGGGAGGGTGACTTTTAAAATGTAATCCCCTACAGATTACAGATTACATTCCCCAAAATGTAGTTTGTAACGTAATCCAATAAATTACTTAAAGTGAGTAACGTAATCTGAATACTTTGGATTATTTGATATTGTCGTGTATTTTAAAACTACATGAATGTAGCAACCACATCCTGTTCCTGGTTTAAAATTTAGTCCTGGTTTAGTCCATTCCTGGTTTTCCTGGTTTAGTCCTGGTTTTCCTGGTTTAATCCTGGTTTACCCCTGGTTTAGTCCTGGTTTAGTCCTGGTTTAGACCTGGTTTAGTCCTGGTTTAGTCCTGGTTTAGTCCTGGTTTAGTTTAGTCCTGGTTTACCTGGTTTAGTCCTGGTTTACCTGGTTTAGTCCTGGTTTAGTCCTGGTTTAGTCCTGGTTTACCTGGTTTAGTCCTGGTTTAGACCTGGTTTAGTCCTGGTTTAGACCTGGTTTAGTCCTGCTTTAGTCCTGCTTTAGTCCTGCTTTAGTCCAGGTTTAGTCCTGGTTTAGCCCAAAATGTGAAAACAAGAAAATACTCTGATTACATAACTCCAGTACATGTAATCTGTTACTCCCCGACACTGGTCATAGTTCAGAAAGTTCCACGTGAATCTGATGTCAGAAAAGTGACATATTGCCCATAGACGGAATAAAGAAGTGAACTAAGGGAGTGTGACGTGACCCGTCGCATTCGGCTCCAGTCAAATGAAGCTCATGATGCTAGCAGTTAAAGGGGTGAATTTGGAGCTCCTTATTAGGAATAGAAATTTATCTGCGGACAAAATAGCGAAATAAAAGCATCAGGATCAGGTAGAGCGAGTATGAACATTTTAAGACCAAAATGACGAGGCTCACAGCAGCAGTTACAGAGAGAGACAATACTCCAAAGTAAGTCATTTGGAGCCAGGGTCAGAAGTGCAACCATGGTCACTTCCTGTTTGGAGCACCCGGACTAGGACATGTGCATATAACAACAAATTCACGGTGTATTTCAGTGTGTAATGTATGCTCTTAGGTTTAAAAGTGTGAGTGTTTGTAGTGACATGAAGCAGCTCTTAGACTGATGATGAGAAACGAAACCAAACACAACTCATAGAATTAAATGTAAAGAGCACTAGAGAAATTACACTCATCAAAATAAACTCTCCAGGGCAGGATTTTGACAAGTGGGTTTCATATTATATATGTTAAACTGAGAGAGAAATATCTTAAATCATATCTAAATCTCCATCGTCACATTGAAATTAGTTTCACCTCTGAAGAAATGACTATGTTACTAAATGTGTTCAAAACTATCATCAGATAATCCCCATGTTTGTCTGCAGGGGGCAGTGTGCCGCACTCGCAGAACTGAACATGGTGCAAAGAGCCCAGAGCCTGGAGACGTACGGCGTGGACCCTCACCCCTGCAAGGTAACGACTGACACAGGAAGCTACAGATCACACAAGAGGAAAATGAAGTCACTTTGAAGGTATGAAAATGGAAGTAGTTATTCCCAGGGTTCCCACGGTCATGAAAATCCTGAAAAGTCATGGGAATTGAAAATGTCATTTTCCATGCCTGGAAATGTCATGGAATTTTGTAAATTCAATGAAAGTTTTGGAAAAGTCATGGAATTTTAGTGTCTCTTTCACACAACTGCATCGTTCTGTTAAGTCAGTGTTTCCCAAACTTGTTTTCTGAGGACCCATATTTTAAAAGTCACAAATCTTCGTCAAGAGACATTATTGGTAAATCACTAAATAAATTTGTGACTGTTATTGAACATTAACGAGGATATTTTATTGTTGACTGAGTAATTGTGTCTCTGAACAATTAGTTTTACTCAAGTTTTAAACATTGAAAAACAATAACGGAACCAGCAATAAAAGGATCCATAAGTCGCTTATTTGGACCTACATGCAGATCGTGACAGGGCGACCCAAGTTCTCATGAGACTGTTATGATTATTTCAGAACTTTTGCACTTTTTGTTTAAAAGAGACGACAATAAATGCACTGACAATATTTTGAATGTTAAAAAACTATAATACCAAACCATAAAGTGAGTGGAAAGAGTTAACGTTTCATATTGACCCTGAAAATATGCAAACTTTTACACATGTAGGTGCCGTAAAGTCATGGAAAATTCACTTTAGGTCATGAAAAAGTCATGGAAAAGTTTTGAAATCTTGTCAGTGAAAAAGAGTGGGAACCATGTATTCTTGACAATAAAACATGATGAGCCGCAGACAGCAGACAGTGAACTTACTTTGACCCCAAGAGCTGCTTATACAATATACATGTACTAGAAGAATTTTGCTCAAACACATGGGAGAAATCAGGTACAGACATAATTTCCCATAATGCAACTCTGTGGGAGATTCACTGTTTTTGAAACAAATGTCATTAAATCCACAAATGTTGAAAACCCGTGTCATTCTTTCATTAGTTTTTCAATATAAAACCAAAAAAATACGAAAATGAAAGAACAGCTATTTTCTTCATTATTTGTCTCCAAAACCAAAATGAAAAAAAAAGATAATGATTCATTATTTCAGTTTTTGATTTTGTGTCTAAAGGAATAATGCAAAAAAAAACGAATAACGACCGTTTCCTGTTTTCGTGACTTAAACTGCGATCCCGGACTAAACCAGGACTGAACCAGGACTAAACCAGGTCCGGGACCAGACTGTAACCAGACCAGGACTGAGACCGGGACTGAGACAAGGACTGAGGCTGGGACCAGACCAGAAGTGAGACCAAGATTGAGGCCAGGACCAGGCGGGGACTGAGACCAGGACTGAGACCAGGACCAGACTGGGGCTCAGACCAGGACTGAGGCTGGGACCAGACCAGAACTGAGACCAGGACTGAGACTGGGACCAGACTGGGACTGAAAACGGGACAGAGAATGGGACTGAGACCAGGACTGAGACCGGTAACAAGACCGAGACTGAGAGCGGGATTGAGACTGGGACTGAGACCAGGACTGAGGCCGGGACCAGACCGGGACCAGACTGCGACCAGACCAGGACCAGGACTGAGACCAGGACTGAGACCATGACTGAGACCAGGACTGAAAACGGTTTAGTCCTGTTATCCGTTTTTTTCATTTTGGTTTTGGAGACAAATAATGAAGAAAATTGTTGTTTTTTTCATTTTCTCATTTGTGGTTTTATTTTGAAAAACAAATGAACCAATGATACACGGATTGTTGAATCATATTTATTTTGTTGAAGTTCTTTCAGCTGACACCAATACATATTTGGGGTTGAATAATTGCACCACTTTCCGAATCTTATGTTACTTATACTTTTTTCAATGAACTTTGTGTCAGTTTTTGTTCCATGTCAACAGGCCCGGTAATTACAGAGAAAAGAACCATAAACCAGGTCAACAAATCTGCAATCTGACAATTACGCAGCAACTTCCACCTGAGAATTCTGACCTCCAGCTCAAAGTTAAACTCTGGGGATTCTCGTGCGTTACGTCATGTGAATACTCTATTAAAGACTGAGGTAGTTTTCAATAATCGTCTTAAATTACCACAGCTGCCGTCGTGTTAATGTGAGAGGAAACACGAGAGAGGTCAGGCACTTAAAATGTCATCTGTTCTTTCAATCTGTCAAACTTTACGGTCCTTTATTACACAAAATTAACTCTTGTGAACTTTCGGCCATGTCAGAATGTTGTTACCTTCATAAAAACAGACCTGGAGTTGTGTTCTGTTTTGTTTTGTTTTGTTTCGTTCACACATGTTTGAGTGATTCTTTATTATTAGTCTGTCTGCATCTCCAAAGCTCACAAATGCTCTTGTGATGTCATGAAGTGGTAGTTTTCAAGTTTTCTTTTACCTTTAGTTTAGTAGAAATAGGCAGTTCCAGGGCTGAAATTATCCAGATAATTCTAGTGAAGGTGTGTGTGGAGTTTAATACATATCTCGATACAGTGCACTTTCGATTTCATACGATATATTTCAAATTTATTCGATGCGGTTCAATAAAAAATAAAGACTAAATCATGGCTGTGATACTAAAAGTCTTTGTTAAACCACTTCTTGTGCAAAGTTAATTTGAAACACAAACATTTTAATCATTAAAACAGTGAAAATGTCAAATGTGTCGCAAAAATGAGTTTCCTTCCTGTAAAAAAGCAACAAAACTGTAGCTCTGTAATGAAATAATTTTGTAAAATAAACTCAAGATTACTCTTGGCAACATATCGATACATCACCATAATATCAATACTATATTATCATATTAAACAATACGATATATTGATATTTTGATATTTTTGCACACCCCTCAGTACCATATGACATCACGGTCATCAAGGTGAATCTGTGTATCTTTCATTCATTCATTTTTCAAAATAAAACCAAAAATAAAACAAAAAGACAACAATTTTCTTCATTATTTGTCTCCAAAACCAAAATAAAAACACAGATAATGATTGATTTTTGCAGTTTTTAATCTTGTGTTTGACTGAGGAAGGGAAAAAAGCGGAGAACAACTCCCCGTTTCCGTGACTTAAACTGCAATGCCGGACTTTTGCGCCGAATGCGGACTAAACCAGGACTGATCCCAGGACTAAAACAGGACTAAACTGGTCTCAGTCCTAGTCTGGGCCCGGTCTGGTCCTGGTCTCAGTCCCGGTCTGGTCTTGGTCTCAGTCTTGATCACCTGACAGTCTACTCACCACCTGCACACCTCCGGGCCCTCCCCAACAGTCCTGGTTTAGTCTTGAGTTAGTCCTGTTTAGACCTGGTTTAGATCTGGTTTAGTCCTGGTTTAGACCTGGTTTTAATCCTGGTTTAAACCTGGTTTAGACCTGGTTTAGATCTGGTTTTAATCCTGGTTTAGACCTGGTTTAAACCTGGTTAAGACCTGGTTTAGATCTGGTTTAAACCTGGTTAAGACCTGGTTTAGTTTAGTCTTGTTTTAGTCCTCAGTTTAAGTTTCAGAAACGGGAAACGGTCGTTATCTGTTTTTTCCATTATTAATTTAAACACAAAATCGAAAACTGAAAAAACTAATCGTTATCATTTTTTTCATTTGGTTTTGGAGACAAATAATAAATAAAAGGTTTTTTTTCGTTTTTTTTTTTTCGTTTTCTTATTTTTGGTTTTATTTTGAAAAATGACTGAACGAATGAAACACGGATTGTTTTCAGTTTAAGAGAAGAACTCAACCTAAATCTACAGGATTTGTGGATTAAACGTGTGAATGAAACAACACACAACTCCAGGTCTGTTTATTTTTTTTTAAAGATGAGGAAACAATATTATAACATACATTCGAAAACAACGTAATATGGGACTTTTAATAATTACCTGGTGGAATTTGCAAATACCCACCGTTATGTAAGTCAGTCAATTATAGATTTGAATTTATAATATGGTTAAATGTTTTCTTTAGTTCTGTCCTTTCAGGGTCATTCAGGAACACCTCATAATCAAATCAAAACTTACAAAGTGGATTAACACGAGGAAAGAAAAGGGCGGCCAACATAGTTTACATGCTCGAACTGGACTAATTGATACTTTGCAGCGACATCAAGCATGGGGTGTTCTACATGTATCTAGGGTGGAATGTTCAGCAGTTCATCACGGTGACACGATGCACACATTAGCAAACACAATCGAAAAAAGTTTTAAGGTTCAAATGGGGTTCATTTTGTCTTCCGATATTTTATGTTATTGGGTTCTTTTTTTCAGAGCATGAGTTTGTTTTCATATCTGACTGTCAGGTATGAAAACAAACTCATGCTCTGAAAAAAACATATTTTCCGGGCTATTAGGCGCTCTGGATTATAAGACGCACTGTCATTAAATGGTCTATTTTCAAGCTTTTTTCACATATAAACCGCACTGGACTTTAAACGAAACACAACAGTTGGATGGGTCAGTGGGACTTTGTTTGTGGCGTTCACGGTGACTCTGGGCTTTGGTCAGTTGTGGTGTGTAGGGAGGTGCTGTCTGGGATCGCTGGATTGTCGGCGTGTTCGCAGTGACTCAGTTGGTCAGTTGTGTCTAGAAGTGGCACATTGCACTCGCTTTTTCGGTTCGTTCCTCCGTTCCGTTCCTCGTCGGCGTGGAGTGATGAGTGTGTCTGTGGGTGTATTTCGCTGTGCGGTTGCTGTCTGGTCCGTGTGTGTTTGCGTGTTCTGCGGGTGGTGCGGCTTTGTAGTTTACTGAAGTCGTACTGAGTGGATTCATGTATGGGGCGCTCTGGATTGTGGGGCGCGCAGTCGTTTTTTCATGGGGTTGGAGGCTTAACCCTCTCAGGCTCAAATTAATTTTTAGTATCAGGAAAAATCTGATATTTGGGGAAAATTATAATATGGGGTAGTAATATACAATTCTGACCTTTGTAAACAAAAAAAGTATTTTGCACTTCTGGCAGGCCGTTTGCGTGTAGCCATTCTTCTCAGTCTGCATCGCCCACGTTTATCAGCATGGATGGGAGAAAAGGCTCCTGAGTAAAAAAAGCTCATATAATATGGATGTGGAGTAAGTAGGTACTTGGAATTTAGCTGTTGCAAATCTGCAACACCTGCCTGGAGAGGGTTAAGAGTGCGTCTAATAGCCCGGAAAATAAGGTAGGTTTTAAGGTTGTCTGAAAACTAAAGAAAAAAATCCCAAAATATTTTATGATTGTGATGGATGGAAAACAGTTGGCTGATGCCAGTTTGTGACTGTAATGTTATTTGAGAATAGTTCCAGCTAACTCTGTTCTTTCTGGTTAGATTGCGTTAAAACAAAGCCCAGATTAAAGTTTAACTTGAGTAACAGATCTTCAGACACAGCAGTGCCTCTATTAGCACCACACCCCCAGGGAATGTTCATGACATCAGTTGCAAAGTATTAGTATTAAACATAAAATCCCACCATGAGTAGGGTGACCAGACGTCCCTATCAGGGGGGAGTTAGCAGTTTGGGGGCCCTAGGTGAACTTGAGTTTGAGGCCCTCATAATGCACTGTTTTTTGTTTTGTTTTTGATATATATATATTTTTTTTTTATACATTAATTGTCTGTTTTTCCTCATTGTTCTTGAGACATGCACATCTCCATTTATTTGAATTATGGGGGTTTGGAAACTGTTCTTATTAGTTAGTTTGTGTACTAGAAAACCAGAGCTGCAAGTAGTTTAATTTTTTTGCCAGTCCAGTTACATTTTTGTTTACATTCATTACATATGATTGTTATTACTTTTCTTATGATTATTGTTAAAACTAAACTACTCTCATTTAAAGTCATATTTAGAGAAAATCAAATTGCTCTGAGGCTTCGACCATTAGTGGCACTGAGGGCAACTGGTTGGGGGCCCCTCCAGGTTTGGGGGCCCTAAGCAGCCGCCTTCTTTTGCCTAAAGGTAGCGCCGCCTCTGGCCCCTATTGACCCTGGACAGTCCCAGTTTTGAGCCCTGTGTCCCCTGTCCCAGCAGATTTGTCCAAAACCACTGATTTGTTCCACAGTTTTATACAAGAAATGTCCCAAGTGTCCTTATTTTTGACCAATTTGATCCCTGCCAACGGTAAAAAGAGGACATACATTGTGATTTGTTTAGGTAAACTAGAGAAAAGGATGCTTAAACATGACTAAAACACAATGAAAATGTGACTATACTGTCTCAAATGTTAATCAGGAATGGGTCGAATGCAGAACAATCTTCATTAATTATGCATTAGATTCACAATTTTATTATTACCAACCACCACAGACTGAGGATGTCCCAGTTTTTGAAAATCTGGTCACTCTAATCAAGATGAATCTATTTTAAACATTTATGAGGTGCAATAATTGACCCATCGAGGTACAGGATGTAATTTTCTTGAGGTGACACGTCATCTGCACGATTACATAGAAATATAAACTTAAAACTTTCCCCATGGAGATATGTTTTATACCATACAGTGGAATATCACAGCCAAGGGAACTACATTTCCATGGAAAAAGCAGGTGGAGGCCCTCGTTCAGGCTAAATAAGTCGGGTTTATGGAGATGCAAGCCCATTCTTGTTTTTCAGTGCTACAAATACATTTTCCAGAAACAGTTAAATGTTATAAATCATTTGTAGACTTTGTTTGCCTGTCATTTAAGTGATATAGAGTCAAACTGGTGAATCCCATGAGCCTTCTGATTTGAGGTTTTGGAGCTGCAACATGAAAATAACACAAGTCTTCAGAACTAATGTCTTCTTTACACTTACATTAATAATAATAACTACACTTGTTCTTATGTTTCCGCAGGATTTTACAGGGTCCACGGCGTTTCTGGGATTCACGGCCACTGGGTTTGTGGTCTTCCAGGGAAACAAAAGGATCCACCTGCTCAAATGGTATGGGAATAAACAGACTTGAATTTTTATTATAGCATATAGATTAGATTGTATAGCCTTTAAAACCGTCTAGTTTATTACAGTTTATATTTACTATTATTATGTTCTGTTGCACCTCGGGATGGGACAGTATGAAATTTCTTCAGATAACTGTGACAAAAAATACCACGGGATGACGGTGTAACATGGAGTCATGTAATTTATAATGTTTAACAGAAACAAGGGACTATTTCAATCAGAAAGTGTTAGTATATTGCTGATATATGATGTGTTTCTCCTTGGTTATGTTGTACTTTGGTGTGCAGAGATTTGGTGAAACACAGATCAGTTAATATCAGGGCAGAGCTGCAGTTTGGTTCACCTGGAAAGGCACATATATGGTTTTAAATATGATTAAATATGTTATTAAGTAAAATATCCTGTAGGCACTGTATACTGTAGGTTTTTGATAGCCAGTCTGCCACCACCTAGTGCCTCCTCTCAAATTCATTTCTCTCCAGCGACTAGGTCAGGAATCAGAATACACTAGACCAGGCATGTCCAACCTATGGCCCGGGGGCCAAATGTGGCCCTCAGACACATTTTTCTTGGCCCTCATATTTCCAGGTGAATTTGCCCAAATTACTTTGCATCAATTAAAAAATATTTTTTTACTGCAAGGTTTTTGAAAATCTACCTTGATAAAGCCGATATTTAATATTTAGTGTGTGGTTTTAAGGATGAATAAAGTCTGATGGCTCATTTTAATGAGTTAAACATGCACACATTTCAATTATTCCCTGTACTGAGCACCAGTCTACGGCCCTCGATCGGCCCTCTGCTTCGTCTGTGTTTACATATGTGGCCCTTGATGAAAAAAGTTTGGACACCCCTGCACTAGACGGTTTGCAAGAACCCTGGAAGTTGTAGACCGCGCACCGGCCAATCAGTGAAGAGCTGAACCAACCCGAGTTGTGACAGCAGACTGCATACGCTATCCTCCTTTGGACTTCTTTTGTCAAATCCAACCTTTGCATTTTTTATTGCACCTTTAATTTGCAAGTTCACTCTGCTTTGTTTACTGTTGTGCAGGTAATTACTTGGACACCACTGAGCGTTCCGGTGCATTACAGACGTCACGACCAAATAACAGCGATTGGTTAAATTAAAAAAAGTACTCGCTGAATCCTAATGCTGCAATGTCAGATGATTTACACGAAGTGAAACCGGCTGATGAATCAGGCTTGGCTTTTGATATATACTTTGACCAAATATAATTATAGAATCAATGGATTTTGTGAGCGTTTTTGCCAGTAATGTGCTTCTGCTCATCAGTTACTCGTGGGGGTTTATATCAGTCTAATTTAATGTCATTCATGCTCGCGTCAGCAGCTGTGCACATCTGGCGCAGTGAGCAACTAAACAGCATGGATAGGAACAGCATTTCCTCCTCTGACCGTCTGGGCAAGTCTGAGGAAGGAAAACGTGAAGATGATTTCAAGAAAGGAACACAGTGTATGTCTGAATCAGGCATCCAGCAAGAAGAAAAAGAAGGTAGAAGGTCTTGGCTGGTCCGTGAGGGTGCATGAACATTATCTTACAGTCACCGAATTCTTCTGAGACCTCCTCCACCAGACCAGTCCATGGGAGGTTACCATAGCTGCAGCATACGAAGTTCTGAGGTCTAACAACAAGAGGGGCCTTCATGTTTATCTTCATCACTCACGTGTCCTTGATGAACTGTAACCAAATCAGGGGGGTTTGCCTGTTCACTGAGTTCGTCGACATGCATCTGTGTCAGAGAGACGGGGACAAAACAAAGGTCCTGTAGTGTTTCTTTGATTGTCAGCCGTATACACTGAATGGATATTTGGCATGTCTTAAGATGGGGGTAAGTCAGCTTCTAGGTAAATTTGTGAGAAAATAAAAAATAAAAACCCTCCAGATTTTTTATATGTTGTAGTAGACAGATAGGGCTACATTTTTTCTATTGGTGTCATTGAGATCAGGCATGTCCCTTTTTGTCAATTTCAAGTTCAAAATATAGGACAAAGTTTGAGGAAGGAAAACGTGCAGAAGAAAACAGGGACGACGACAATGTGACGTGTCCAAGTTGACAACAGATAAAGCATAGTTCTTTGGAAAATCTTTGTCTGTTCTTTCGATCGGCTCTTCTCCCACATTTCTTCTGCGTATGTGTTGGCTCATGAGTCTGTAGTTGTTTGTGAATTTCTGAATCCAGTTGGTGTTTTTTATCTTCATGTCTCTGGCTCTTCTGGTGCATAGTTACAGCCGCCATATGTAGTTCCTTCTGCATTCCCTCTTGCCTCATTACTTTTCTCAGTAGCTGTTCATAAGCATGTGTGCCGTGTCTTTTCAGTTCAGTTAGACGAGCGGCTTTCCAACCAAGGCGAGTTTTTTTTCCACAGCTGAAGAAATGTCTGTTTTTAGTCCATTGATAAAGCAGTTACATAAGTATGTTTCCCGAACGTCACGAGTCACACCACAGTGATCAGGTACGGAGTAAGAAAGCTTTTCAGAAATATTCGTGTGCATATGATAGAAATCTGAGCATATTTGTCTGTAGTTGAGCATTAAATAAATATTGGTAAACTCTCAAACGAGTCCAGTCGTGCATAAAATGTGTTGTGTTTTATCCATCAGAATACAAAAGTTACAACATCAAGAATTACAATCACGAAATTAAAATGTACGATTACGATTGCGCCACATACGGACTAAACCAGGACTAAACCAGGACTAAATCAGGACTGATCCCAGGACTGAACCAGGCAGACTAAACCAGGACTGAACCAGGACTAAAACTGAACTAAACCATGAGTACTAAACCAAGACAGAACCAGGACTAAACCAGGACTGAACCAGGACTAAACCAGGACTAAACCAGGACTGATCCCAGGACTGAACTAGGCAGACTAAACCAGGACTGAACCAGGACTAAAACTGGACTAAACCATGAGTACTAAACCAGGACTGAACCAGAACTAAGCCAGGACTAAACCAGGACTGATCCCAGGACTGAACCAGGGCTAAAACAGGACCCTAAACCAGGACTGATTCCAGGACTGTACCAGGACTAAACCAGGTCTAAACCAGAACTGAACCAGGACTGAACCAGGAGGACTAAACCGGGACTAAACCAGTTCTAAAACAGGACTGATTCCAGGACTGTATCAGGACTAAACCAGGTCTAAACCAGAACTGAACCAGGACTAAAACAGGGCTAAAACAGGACCTAAATCATCATAAATTTTCATTTCATGATTGTAATTGTTGACGTCGTAACTTTTCAATCCGTATTCTGATGGATAAAACACACACAACACATTTTACGTACGACTGGATTCGTTTGAGAGTTTACAAATATTTATTTTATGCTCAACTACAGACAAATATGCACAGATTTTTATCTTATGCACATGAATATTTCTGAAAGTTTTCTTACTCCACTGTGAGTGTCACTCTTCAGGGTCCTCAGTGTGTCTTTGTTGGCAGGACTGGATTTTGTCTGTATCGATGGCGACAGGAAAGGCTTTTGTGCAGATGCTGTTCACAGCTTCTCTATACAAAGCACTGGAGCGTTATGTTTCCAATCCACGTGATTTTTTTTCTCTCGTCAGTTCACTCATGGTGAGCTTGAAATCTTGACAAAAGATGATGTTGTGGGACTGGACAGATGTTGAGATGCTGCAGATATTTCAGAGGAAAAGACTGTCAGAAGTGCAGTGTTTCCCAGACTTTTTTCTGGGGACTCATATTTTAAAAATCACAAACCTTCACGACCCAAGTCAATAGACGTTATTCATAAATCACAAAATAAAGGTGGATTTCTATTATTGAAGATTAATGAGGATATTTTATTGTTGTGATCGTGTCTCTCTGAACAATTAGTATTACTCAAGTTTTAAACAATGAAAAACAGTCCAAAGGAATCCATAAGTCGCCTATTTGGACATTAAACGTAGCCAATTTCTTTTTCTTTTCAACATTCAATTGAGCCAGCAATATTGGAACAAAATAGTCAATAAAATAATTACAAAAAGACTAGAAATGATACAAAACATGTCTTAATATTTCAACCTACATGCAGATCGTGACAAAGCAACCCAAAACAATGCACTAATGTTTATATGACATTTTGCGGACTTTTCACCACTCAAAAAATATCTTATTTAGGTTTACATTGTTAATCGCGGTGACAGTTGACAGTACAAATTTAATTAATTTAATTTAATAAGCCACACTTGCACTGTGACACCAAAACAAATTCTTTCTTAGTTTGTGAATTTTGTTCAAACAGCTGTGATTACGCACACACTCAAAATTGTATTATTATCAGATTTTTGGAGCTGAAAGAGGATTAAAATGAGAGCAAAATCATCTGATTTTTTTCTAATCATGATCCCTGGTGGCATAAGCCTGATTCATCACAGCGTTAGAATTCGTTCTCTCGACGGTAGGTGCGTACTGTTTTTATTTCACCAATCGCTGCTATTTGGTCATGATGTATTTAATGCACCACTAACGGGGCTAACTGGTATATTAAGCTTTTCCCAAATCCCGTAGGAAGAAGGACAATAACGTCTTTCCCCTTGATAAAATTCACTAAACATTCTCTTTGTTTCGGCTTTAAATCTTCAATCTCTGGAATTGTTGCCAGTACAGAATATATGGCTCTTTGCTGATTGGCTGGTGCCTGAACTCGTACTTCCGGGGTTTTTGCAAACCATCTAGTGCAGGGGTGTCAAACTTATTTTGGTCCGGGGGCCGTATCCAACCTATTTTGATCCCAGAGGGGCCGGATCAGAAAACTCATGGCTCATATATACCCCAAAAATAGCAATAAGTTCAAATATTTGTGCAAAGAAATGCAAATCTATTACAGAAATCTTTTTTAACTGATGAACTCTTTCTTTTACAAAATATTATAATATTATGAACCTGAAATTTTAAGAAAAACTCAGCTCCACTTTTCTCATTTTTGATATTTTCTGATGAGGATGTCATGGTCAACAGTCAAAACGATCGTCCTTTAAGAGCGTTTGGAAAGAGACAAGTCTTCATTTGTGCTGCTCTGGTGGGAGGGGCCACGTACAGAGACGCTGGAGACGCTGCTGTGATAAACACCACAGAAAATTAACAAGATTTTAATAGAAAATATAATTAAAATATTTTAGTAGAAAATCAGCCGAGGGCCAGATTGAAGGTCTTGGAAGGCCAGATCTGGCCCCCGGGCCGTATGTTTGACATCCCAGATCTAGTGTATTCTGATTCCTGATCTAGTCACTGGAGAGAAATGAAATACTAGGTGGTGCCAGGTTGGCTATTGTGGTATTCAAACCATTTTAAAGTGCCAGAAATCAGATAATAATCAGATTGTGTGCATGTGAATTTAGTGACAATGGCAATAAAACCTTTTTAATGATTCTAATCCTGATTTACAACATTTCCAGACTCGGGTTGTACTTCTCGGAATAGTTTTTCTACACAATATTTTTTATCTCTAATCTAATGTACTTTGTTGTGATGACGTTTACGGTGATGTCAGCTCCCACTGGGCACCGCAGTTTTTCATTTCACGTCATTTCAGATCAATATTGCAATTTAAAATGTCCAAAATATAACGTAATGATCCACAGGTGTCATAGAGCATAACTATACAAGCACAATGTTTTCTTTAATGATACAAGTCCACAGTTATTCCATTTGTAGATTCTATTTTATATCAAATTCTATATCATACCACCCACCCCAAATTTAAACTACCTGTTATAGAAAATGGCTCCAGCCAACACTTCATCTGTCACTTCTCTTGACATTCTTCATAGAAATTCCCATTAGGATGATCCATTCTTTGTCGTCAGTTGAATCTAAATATATCCCGGTCTGAACATAGACTCTGCTCTCCTCAGGGCCGACGTCAGCAAGCTCAAGTTTGAGGGGAAGACCTTCTACGTCATCGGGATCCAGAAAGAGGTAAGAGACAGGACGGGCCTTTAGGCGTCATAACTGCTCATGCTGATCCGTGGAGCCATTTTGAGGACCACAGCTCGCGTCATACGTCAAACTACGTCCAACGTGCTGCGCTCACAGATAAAGCAGTGACGTGTGACCTGTCCCGCACTCATTCTGATTAAAGAGGGTCAATGTCATGTTTTAATCAATCAAAGTAATGATTGATTTATTACACACATCCACATCACCATACATGTGTTTTTAACTTGGGTTTTTGATCCAGGATATTAAGACATTTTACCTTTTATCTGAAAACATCACAAAAACTAAAAATGCTTTGAGGAAATAACCGTATCCATCAATAGCTTCTGTATGTTCATGTGGCACTGATGGCCCTTCGCTGCTTGTATTTAATACTTTACAGTAATAACTCCGTAACACTTCCCTGTATTTTTTTACACAGTATATTATTATTTCTTTTTACAGTATTAGTTTGGTCACCACGTCCTCCACATGATCGTGCAGTCAGATTTGTCTTTTTTCAGCTCACTGGTCACCTGTCATAGACTTAGACTTAAACTTAGGTATTATTAAGATGTTATCTTCATAAGAAGAAGCTTCATAAGAAGATATGACACCTCGATACATAGGCCAAGATACAATACGTATCTCGATACAGTGCACTTTTGGTTCGTTACGATATATTTCAAAATGATTTGATATGGTTCAATAAAAATTAAAGCTGTATCATGGCTGTGATACTGAAGGTCACGCTCACGCTCTCCTCGGGGTCACATTGACCTGAAGAATTTTTTTTTCCTTCCTGCTCTCTTGGGACGGGTCAATCAGACCCAAAAATTTTTTTTCAAAGAAATTCTTGCCAGGTGAGAAAATTAATTTTTGGGTCTGATTGACCCGCCCCAAGAGAGCAGGAAGGAAAAAAAAAATCTTTGGGTCAATGTGACCCCGAGTAGAGCCTGAGGGTGAAACCACTTCTTGTGCAAAGTTCATATGAAACACATACATTTTAATCATCAGTGGAAATGTCAAATGTGTCACATAAACAAGTTTTCTTCCTCTAAACAAACAACAAAACTGTAGCTCTGTAACAAAATAATTTAGTTAAATATGCCAAAAAATACTCTTGGCGATATATCGATATTTCAGTATTTTTGCACATCCCTATCGCTCATCGATTCTGCGGAAATCTGCAATGTTTTTCAGTCCCCTGTGATAATTTTTTTTCCCTTTACTTTTTCCAATATGGACGGACAATGCATATCCCTGATTGGCTAATCCACCTGTCAATCACTTCCATCTGAAAATGGGAAGATTCACGAGGGACCAGACTCAGATTCCACGCAATATAATTTACAATCTGGTCTGATTTTGAGTGAGCTGCCACATGGATTACACTGAGGGCATTGCTCTCTTCATCTCATAGCACAGACGTCTACAAAGTGCCTAGTTCTTACACATCTAGACTAAGATTGTGCAAGCAGTACAGAAAAATGTTTACAACAACAGTGGTGACCAAATATAATGTTAAACTCTTGATTTAGACTGAATAACTTTGCAACATTCAAGTAAACAGCAGCTATGAACCCATCACCTGTAATCTGATCTGATCTGCTCACAGGACGGAGGGTTTCCTGTTTCATTTCTGCACCTCAGTCGAACTCACACTGTAAAAACAAACCATAAATGTATTTTAATAACTTACATTTATGAAACAGCACTTTGTCATTGTTCACTTGTTTTATATTTAGAGCTGAAATCATTATCAGGGCCCGTCGCGTCTTGTTCAACTCACACTAATGTCATTGTTCATTTCAGCTGTAATTAAAATGTCATTCTTCTTCAAAATATTCACGCTCATTATTATTTGAGTCTAGTTACATGCTTTAATTTGCAGAGGTGGGTAGTACTCAGTTACATTTACTTGAGTAACTTGTGAGTAAGTTTGCAAATCAAAAAAATTGAAAAAAAAAAAAACATTTGTCTTTCTTGCACTTCTCCTTCAGATACGATTTAGTTTTTCTCATTTTTGTGTCTGTCCTTTGAGAAGACCAGATTTTGTTCATTATTTAATCATCATTAACATAAACTTCAAATTATAAATCAGGTGTTTTGTTCAGTCACTCTTTAAAGGTCCCGTATTACACAAAATAAATGGACTTGTGAACATTTAAGTCATGTTGTAAAGTTGTTATCGCATCAAAAACAGACCTGGAGTTGTGTTTTGTTTCATTTACACATACTTGAGTAATTATTTATTATTAGTCTGTCCACATCGCTAAAGCTCAAAATGCTCTGTTCCACTTTGTGATGTCATGAAGTGGTAGTTGTCAAGTTAACAGCTACCTTTTCATTTTTGTTTTGTAGAGATGAGCAATTCCAGGGCTGAAATTATCCAAATGATTATGGTGAAAGTGTGTGGAGTTTAAAAACACAGTGGAGCACTTCCTGTATTAACACATGACATCACAAGGTGGAACAGAGATTTTTCAGTTTGAGAGAAGAACTCAGAGTAAATATGCAGGGTTTGTGTGTTAAATCATGTCGTAGTATTGAAGATCGGTCTTGGTCTCGAGATACATTTTTTACAGTCTTGGTCTCATCTTGGACTCAAGCACATTTGGACTCAGTCTTCTTTCGGTCTCGAAGGTGCTTGGTCTTGGACTTGTCTAGGACTTGAGGTCTGACACTCACCAAGTGTGATCATATTTCATTACAGCCAGTAAATGTGTAGAGGCCGCTAAATTAGGGCTGTCGCAATAACCACAAAAATTTATCACAGTGGTACTAAGAGGCCTAACATCCACCGTGATCACCGCACATGACCAGCATGACCCGACCCAGAGTCCTGCATGGGTCCATTTTTAGAGACCTGCACCCACCTGGACCTGTTAACATTCCACCTGTTACCGCCTGTGCCCGTGATAAAGAAGGGTTCTCAAACTGTGGGTGAGGGTCCATAAAAAGGGCACAGAGTTGCAGTACAGTTTGCTTTGCTTATTTTAAGTTTAAATGAACATTAATCAGATCAAATGTAGATTTAATAAAGATTTATAATAAGATTTATAAAAACATTGATATTTATATTTATATATTCATACATATATATATATATATATGTATGTATGTGCCAAAATAACTGTAAAATACAAATAAATGTAGGAAATGACAAAGAAAAGATGGCAGCGTGCATAGATGCAGCAGTTCTGAGCTCCTACAACTGGCACATTTTTTGCACTATTTTATATGACAGTGACAATAAAGGAACTGAAAAAAATAAAAATAAAATAAAAAATACTATGCTCTAATGTAATTTAGTTCTTATTTTATATGACAGTGACAATAAAGGAATTGAATCTGAACTGAATCGAATGGAAAGATGGTCTCGGTTTGGTCTCGATGGGCCGTGGTGTTGGTCTTGTCTTCGTCTCGACCTTTAAAAGTCTCGGTCTTGATTGATTGATTGATTGTATTTATATAGCGCCTTTCAAGATACCCAAAGTGCTTTACAGTTCATTATTCAGTCACGCCACACTCAGTGGTGGTAAGATACTATTGTAGCCATAGCTGCCCTGGGGCAGACTGACGGAAGTGAGGCTGCCAATTTGCGCCATCGGCTCCTCCAACCACCACCATCTCTCACGCTCACACCATACTAGGCAATGTGGGTGAAGTGTCTTGCCTAAGGACACAATGACAGTTTTTTGCCACTTGCGCCCCCCTGTGGCACCTGAAATTCCTAATGGTCTCCCATCCAAGTACTACCCAGGCCCAGCCCGGTCTTGTCTCGGTCTCGACTCTCAGAGGTCTAGGTCTTGGTCTTGTCCTGTTCTCGGGACCCTGTGGTCTCGGACTGGTCTTGGTCTCGATTACTGCGGTCTTGACTACAACACAACTGTTAAACGTGTGAATGAAACAAAACAAAACTCCAGTTATGTTTGTGATGAAGAAATATTATAACACAGATCAGAGAAAAGTGTAATATGGACCCTTTAACTTACTTTTACTCAAATACTTCTAAATGAGTAATACTATTTTGAAGTTCTGCCCACCTCTGCTGATTTGCACTTGCTTCTGTCTGGCTGTGGACTTCCAGCTTAAGAAACACTTTCACTGTTTTTGTCTTTTCTTTTGTTTAACACATAGTCATCACAGGTGAGTAGATTTACACACAAGGAATAGAACCCCCAACCTGGTGCCTCTCCCTAAAGCCAAACCATTACACCACACACTATGTTTATAATCCGTGTAGCATTCGTTCATTTGTTTTTCAAAATAAAACCAGAAATAAGAAACTGAAAAGACAACTATTTTCTTCATTATTTGTCTCCAAAACAAAAATGAAAAAAAAAAAAAAAAAAAAAGGATAATGATTCTGTTTTTTTTTTTCAATTTTCGAGTTTTCGATTTTGGGTTTAAATAAATAATGGAAAAAAACGGATAACGACCGTTTCCTGTTTATGTGACTTAAAACTGCGATGCCGAACTGAACCAGGACTGAGTGTTGGAGCGGACCCGGAGGTGCGCTTGCGACTGTCGGGTGATCAGGACTGAGACCGGGACCAGACCAGGACCAGGCCCAGGACTGAGACTGGGACCAGACCAGGACCAGGCCCAGGACTGAGACCGGGATTGAGACTGGGAATGAGACCAGGACTGAGAATGGTTTAGTCCTGGTTCACTTCTGGTTTAAACCTGATTTAGACCTGGTTTAGACCTGGTTCACTTCTGGTTTAGACCTGGTTTAGACCTGGTTCACTGCTGGTTTAGACCTGGTTTAGACCTGGTTTAGACCTGGTTTAGACCTGGTCCACTTCTGGTTTAGACCTGGTTTAGACCTGGTTCACTTCTGGTTTAGACCTGGTTTAGAGCTACGTAGTTTAGTCCTGGTTCAGTTCTGGTTTAGACCTGATTTAGACCTGATTTAGACCTGATTTAGACCTGGTTCAGTCCTGGTTTAGACTTGGTTTATTCTGGGTTTAGACCTGGTTCAGTCCTGGTTCAGTCCTGGTTCAGTCCGGCATCTCATTTTAAGTCACAGAAACAGGAAACGGTCGTTATCTGTTTTTTCATTTTGGTTTTGGAGACAAATAATGAAGAAAATAGTTGTTTTTTTCCTTTTCTTATTTTTGGTTTTATTTTGAAAAAACAAATGAACAAATGAAACACCGATTGTTTCTGTATGCATTATTATGTTTTCAGTTTACTGTTTTGGCATTGAAATTTAGTTTTTTTTTATTCATTATGTCAGTTCCATGTAGATCTGTGTAACTTTAACTTCATGTAAATATATAAATTTAAACATGTGTGATTCCTCCTGCACTTGTCCCGTGTTCAGTGTCATTTCTGCCTGTTTTAAATGTGTCACTGATGATTTTAGCGTCTCTGAGTCTCGGAGAAAAACACCGCATGTTTCACTCTCGTACTAAACCAGATGTCCCACTTTGTACAGATGATATTTTATGTTTTTTATTTGCCTGACGCAGACTCTTCTCTCCGCACTCCCGCACCTCTCACAAAAACAACAAAAACAATGACGCAGACGACTTTTGTACAACATTACAATAAGTTTATACATTTTCACACACTTAAAACAGATGAGGTAGACGTGTCTTTGTTGAAATGAAGGACTTTTCATATTTTCACATCACAGAATGCGTCACTGTCCTTGTATCATTCGTTCATTTGTTTTTCAATATAAAAACAAAAAAACAACAACAAAAAAACAACTATTTTCTTCATTATTTGTCTCCAAAACCAAAATGAAAAAATGGATAATGAGTCGTTTTTTCAGGTTTCAATTTTGTAGGACTGAACCAGGACTAAACCAGGTCAGACCAGACCAGAACCAGGCCGGGACCAGACCAAGACTGAGCTCGGGATCAGGACCAGGACTGAGACTGAAACTGGGACTGAGCCAAGGCCTAAGATCGGGAACAGGACCACGACTGAGACCATGACTGAGACCGGGACTGAGACTTGGACCAGACCAGAACTGAGACCAGGAACAGGACCACAACTGAGACCGGGACTGAGACTGGGACCAGACTGAGACTGAGACCAGGACTGAGACCGGGAACAGGACCAGGACTGAGACTGGGACCAAATCGATGATGGAGACCAGGACTGAGGCCGGGACCAAACCAGGACTGAGACCGGGATTGAAACCGTGACCAGACCAAGACTGAGCCCAGGACCAGGACTGAGACTGGGACTGAGCCCAGGCCTGAGACCAGGAACAGACCAGAACTGAGACCAGGACTGAGGCCAGGAACAGAACCACGACTGAGACCGGGACAAGACCGGGACCAAACTGGGACCAGGCCAGAACTGAGACCAGGACTGAGACCGGGAATGAGACTGGGACCAGACTGGGACCAGATTGGGACCAGACCAGGACTGACAACTGTTTAGTCCTGGTTTAGTCCTGGTTCAGACCGTATGGAGCAGTTTAAGTCACGGAAATCCTTTTTTCCGTTATTCATTTAAACACAAAATCGAAAACTGAAAAAACAGATCGTTATCTGTTTTTTTTTTTTTTTTTTTTCATTTTGGTTTTGGAGACAAATAATGAGGAAAATTGTTGTTTTTTCATTTTCTTATTTTTGGTTTTATGTTGAAAAACAAATGAACGAATGACACACGGATTCTTCACACTTCTTCATTAACACTGTGAACATCGTCTGGCAGCAAAAGTAAACTACCTCATATGTTTTAAGTATGTTAGATGTTTGTAGAGCATGTGTAGATCACGTTCTTGACTCACTTTTGTCTGTTTTAAAATAATTAAATCTATATAATGTTGCCTTATTAGATGAGAATTGTTTCTTAATGTTAAGTGAAATGTTTTATTGATGACATCCTCGATTAGCTGTGGACCTCCTAGTGATCACTAAAATCAGTATTTGATATGAATATGTTTATTTTGTGGTTGTGGACAATAATAAAAGAAATCATTGATAAAATCCTTAGTTTGTAGAACTCTTTCTGACCCCACCAAGCTCACTGCTCTAAATGACACTTGACTTGAAAAGGTGCATGTTTTATGTTTTTGTTCTTTTCTGATCATCCAAAGTGGGACTATTTCTTGTAGACAGTATTCTCCAGAGTAAATCCTGGTGCAGAGCCACACATGCCACCGCTGCACTGTGTGTCCAGACCTTTAGAGGATCATATGTAGATTATCTCTCATAAAACACGAGGGGCTGTGCAGAGCGCACACTCAGCTCTGGGACTAAACTGCATTTTATGAACCCTGTAAATCTCCCGCTGTAAAGTGTGGACCTCATCACTCAAGGCCTCTGTGTCTGTATATGTACATGTATATGTATGTGTATATGTATGTGTATATGGCATCGTTTATAGAGACAGAGCTCTGGGCTTTTCCATGTAGCTCTAACTCATCCCCATATTATTGATCTGTGCTCCACCTCCTATGTCCTTATACCTAATACTTACATTTATCACTTAGACTTACAACAGACCATAAATAAAATAAAATTAGATTAGATTTTAAAAAATAAAATAAAATAAAATTAGATTAGATAATTTTTTTATTGAATTGAATTGAATTAAATTGAATGGAATAAAATAAAAATAAATAAAAATTAATTAATTAATTAAATTCAAATAAATAAATTAAAATAAAATAAAGTACAATTAATGAATTTGAATACAATAAATTAAATTAAAATAAATTTAATTTAATTAAATTAATTAAAATAAATTAATTAAAATTTAGTCACTTTTAAACCATTAAATACTCATGATGTAACATTTCTGTTTTGGAACAATATAAGATAACTACATGGAGAACGGCGACAGTCTTTATTTAGGATCAACAGTAGATTTTCCTGCAGTATTGGGGCTTGGGTCAGCGTTGTGCACAGCCTCTCCTCTCCAGGCCTTTAATCTGGACCAGGGTCATGTTTTATTCAGACGTATCACATTTCACATTCTCCTGTTTTTTGTCTCTGTTTTTGTAGAAGAAACTGGTGCTGACGTTTCACACCTCGACTCCCGCCGCCTGCAAACACCTGTGGAAGTGCGGCGTGGAGAACCAGGCCTTTTACAAGTGAGTCTGTCACAACAAAACACAAGAACCTACAGGGAACGTGTGAGAGCTAATGAGAGGCACTACACTGTCTACACAATATACAAGAAAAATATACAACCTTTATTTTTCCAACGATATGGAAATTTATGAGATTACAACAACAAAGTACAAGATTTATCGGTTTCTTCTTCCTGTCGTTTGCTTTAAGATTGTCTTAAAACGCCAGAAAAAATACAAAATGGATTTAAACAGCACATTTCTGAGTTTGACAATTGTGAGCATTTATGGTTTACAAGTTAGATTTTCAACAAAAAGGTGAGTGACAAATTGAAAAACTGTTGGCTAACTATCTTATGACCATTATTTTATTTCATTTGTTTATTTATTTTTAATTAAGAACAACAGAATTTAACATTTAACAAAATACAATAATCAACATTTAACAAAAATCAACATAGAAACAAAACGCAAAAACATAAAGCAACACCCACAACAAATACAAAACAACAACAAAAAAAGCTTCAGCTAAATCCGTTCTTTCTGGTCAGACGTGTTAAAATAAAACTAATTTTAAAGTCTGACAGCACTTCGTCAGCTGCAAAGTATCAGTAAGTGATATTCAGAGGATTTTTCATCATTCAAAAGATGTTTTTCTTTATTAAATTAGTAAAAGTTATGACAGTGGTGCGATCATTCTAAAAAACACACGGATAGAATACAAACATGGAAGATAAACAATCAGTGATGGGAGTAACGCACTATAAAAGTAACAAATTACTGTAATGCGTTACTTTTAGCTATAACACAGTAATTTAAGGTATTACAGGGAAAAAAAAATTTTAATATTTTACTTGGTACAAATGTCAGAAACTTGTGTTACAATGCATTTTTAACCTGGATTGAAGTGGTGGGTTTTTTGTTTTTTCTTCATACAAATTCGCTAAAATCACCGAGATTTCAGCAGCGGTGAAATGGCATCGTTACAGTTCCAAATGTCGGGACGGGCCTCGCATAGACCGTTGGGTAACCGCGAGCGAGATTCCAAGGCCTAGTCCAAGATTAGACCTGGTTCAGTCCTGGTTCAGCTCTGGTTTAGCCCTAGTTTAGACCTGGTTTAGTCCTGGCTCAGTCCTGGTTCAGTCCTGGTTTAGTCCTGGTTCAGCCCTGGTTTAGTCCTTGTTGAGTTCTGGTTCAGTCCTGGTTTAGACCTGGTTTAGTCCTGGTTAAGTCCTTGGTTTAGTCCTGGTTTAGTCCTGGTTTAGACCTGGTTTAGTCCTTGTTGAGTTCTGATTCAGTCTTGGTTTAGACCTTTTTTAGTTCTGGTTGAGTCCTGGCTCAGTCCTGGTTCAGTCCTGGTTTAGACCTGGTTTAGTCCTGTTTAGTCCTGATTCGGTCCTGGTTGAGTTCTGGTTAAGTCCTTGGTTTAGTCCTGGTTTAGTCCTGGTTTAGACCTGGTTTAGTCCTGGTTCAGTCCTGGTTCAGTCCTGGTTTAGACCTTTTTTAGTTCTGGTTGAGTCCTGGCTCAGTCCTGGTTCAGTCTTGGTTTAGACCTGGTTTAGTCCTGGTTTAGTCCTGATTCGGTCCTGGTTTAGTCCTGGTTCAGTCCTGATTCGGTCTTGGTTTAGTCCAGATTCAGTCCTTGGTTAAGTTCTGGTTCAGTCCTGGTTCAGTCCCGGTTTAGTCCTGGTTCAGCCCTGGTTCAGCTCTGGTTTAGTCCTGGTTTAGTTTTGGTTTAGACCTGGTTTAGTCCTGGTTCAGTCCTGGTTCAGTCCTGGTTTAGTCCTGGTTTAGTCCTGGCTCTGTCCTGGTTTAGTCCTGGTTGAGTTCTGGTTCAGTCTTGGTTCAGTCCTGGTTTAGACCTGGTTAAGTCCTGGTTTAGTCCTGGTTTCAGTTCTGGTTCAGTCTTGGTTAAGTCCTGGTTTAGTCCTGGTTCAGTCCTGGTTCAGTCTTGGTTAAGTCCTGGTTTAGTCCTGGTTAAGTCCTGGTTTAGTCCTGGTTCAGCCCTGGTTCAGCCCTGGTTTAATCCTGGTTCAGTCCTGATTCAGTCCTGGTTCAGCCCTGGTTTTAGTCCTGGTTTAGTCCTGGTTTAGTCCTGGTTCAGTCCTGGTTTAGTCCTTGTTCAGTCTGTATATGACGCAGTAATATTGTGATGTAACAAATTACTCTGAAATGACAGTAACAAGTCATAAATAAATAAAACATTACAATTTTGAAACTTGCCCAACAGTGTAAACAACAATTAAAAAAAAAGTAGATCTTAAAGTCCAGTGTGTAACTTTTTTAGTGTGGTACAGATAAAAAAGTCTTCATTTTAGTTTTGCTTGTTAGGTTTTGTGTTGACAGTCGCCGTTAGCAGTGATCTTAAATAACTCGACACTCAGAGGAGACACAGCTGATCGCTTCAAGGCTGTTTGAAACTCATAACTCCCTGTCAACACACCGACTCTGAAACGTACACATCTTTATTCGAGCTGCTGCGGTTCAGTTACAACTGCAAGGTCAATAAGTGCAGTCTAATTTAGGGTCGTCAAATGTATTGAAAATCAGATATTAATGGATAAAAAACTAGTATGGAACCTAGATAATCATTTGAGCAGGTATCAGTGCTAAAAAGTCACACTCACAGGACAGAAATGAACCTTTTCTGAATGTTTTTAGAATGATCTTGAGCTGTATCAGAACAAGTATAAGAGCACATGGACTAGTATATACTCATGAAACCTGGGGTGATCAGAATTTCAAAAGCAAAAACTGGGACACTCTCGGGTTTAGATTGTTTAGTCATAATGAAATTGTGAAAAGAGTGCGTAATTAAGGAAGATTGTTTTGCACTTGGCCCATTCACGACTAAATGTGTCATTATATGTGTCAGTATAGTCTCATTTTCTTTGTGTTTGGTCATTTTTAAGCAACTTTTCTGTATTTTACCTCAACAAATCTTAATTTATGCCTCTCTTTACTGTTGGTAAGTATTACATTTGTCCAAAACAGGGACACCTGGGATATTTTTATTGTATAAAACTTGCACAAATCACTGGTTCCGGATAAATCTGCTGAGACAGGAGACCCAGGGCTCAAAACTGGGACTGTCCCGAGTAAACAGGGACGTCTGGTCACTATAAACCTTACACAGATGTAAGACCACATGAATATACAAGAAAGTATCACGTTGTCTAAAGAATAGTGTTTTTATCACATTTATCATTGTCATATTGGATTTAGTATCAAGTATCAATTCTATTCCTTAGTACCGAAATTAAGTTGTGACAACACTAATCAAATTATTCAATTTTACTGCATTACTAAAAAGTACTAAGAAGTTGGTAGAGTTGGTGATTTGATCTCACTCTTGACATAAACATCACTGGTAAAGCGTTCAGATTCACTGATCCACATGTTGCTGGTACAATTCCAGCTCCTACAAATGAATATTGTTGTTGTGTCCTTAACGCACCCAGTGTCTGCGTGCCTTGAAGATGGAAAAGTCCTGTATGAAAATGTGCGTTTACCATTGACCACTGTCCCACACTGGTCCTCCGTCCTGAAGCAGCTCCTGACACAGCGGCTGTCAGCTCCACTGTCACAGCTTCTGCAGCCGTAATCAAATCAGATGTTCAACAGCAGCGTGACGGAGCAAACACAGACTCACATTTGCATACATGCTAACCCCAGTGAGTGATGCACCGTCCACCAGAAAGGTTACATACTGTATAAACAAAAAAACATGAATGTGCTCACTTTAGCAGTTCATATTTCAGGTCTTTTTCAAATATTATAGGTCCTATATGTGTAAAATCTCTCAGTCGTCCAGGTAGAAGCCATGGGAAAATGAAGAAATTCAATTTGTCAAATGGACAAAAGTTTATTTGGTCGAAGACGTTTCCCTCACTTATCCAAGCTGCTTCTTCAGTTCTGGTCACAGACGCACCTATTTCTTTACAGTTTCTGTTTGGTAGCTAGACCTACCTAAACTGCACTGAGTGTGGGGTCGTATGAGCAGAATCAATCAGGGCCATAATGGAGCTGTCACACCTCTGGGTCTTGTATTACGCAAATCTGACTCCTGTGAGATTTAAGCCATTTTAGAATGTTGTTACATCATTAAAAACAGACCTGGAGTTGTGTTTTGTTTTCATTCACAAACTTTATTATTAGTCTGCAAAACTTTGAGGGCAGGAGTGCTACTTGGAGATACAAAAATTGTGCAGAATTGTCGTTTCGGTGCGCTTCAGTGTAGGGGCCAGTCTCAAATACAAAGCTGAAAAAACCGAGGCACTCAAAAAGTACAAAATAATTAAAAGCCTTTAATACCACATGGCAGATAAAGTTTTGCGTTTCGGCCCTTCAGCCTTCATCAGGGCAAACTATTATTCATCTGTCTGCTTCTCTAAAGCCCAAAAATGCTCCGTTCTACCTTGTGATGTCAGGAAGCGGTAGTTTTCATGTTAACATCTACATTTTACCTTTAGTTCAAGGAAATTCCAAGGCAGAAATTATCCAAATGATTCTAGTGAAGGTGTGTGGAATTTAAAAACACAGTGAAGCATTCCCTGTATTACCACATGACATCACAAGGTGGAACAGAGGGTTTTCAGTTTGAGAGAAGAACTCAACCTGGAGGTGTGGAGTATTTGTGTGTTAAACATTTGTAAATTAAACAAAACACAATGCCACGTTTGTTTTTGATGAGGAAACAGCGTTATAACATAGATCTGAAAATGATGTAATATGGGCCTTATAATGCTTCTGAATTTAAAATCACAAATCTAGCTGCATTTCTAGCCATAAAAATCAATAAATTTCATATTTAACTTTATTTTTTTAGTTAATGTCTTAATAAATATATGAATGATGGTGTCTGATGTTTTGTGTTTTTTTCAGATGTGCGAAGTCCAGTCAGATCAAGACAGTCTCCAGCAGCAACATCTTCTTTAAAGGGAGTCGCTTCAGATACAGGTGACCACATTTTAACCAAAATTAATAGTTATTAGTATTATTGCTTGACCTTGAATGTTCCATAATAGGACATTAAAGTTCTCTGTCTTTCTTTGCCAATTGCAGATGTTTTTATTGCTAAAAATTGCATTGTAAAACATGCATTCTTACTCTGAGCTGGGTCGCCTCTCTCCAGATCTGACCTGTAACTTGGCCTTATGGGGTTTCCTGCTTGTCTCCATGGTGATGGATAGGTTTAGTGCTATACTGTGGAACATTTTACTTAAGAGTTACTTAGAACCACTGTATCACCGTATCAGAAATGATTTGAGTCCACACATGTCGTTTCTGTGTCTGCAAGTCTTCCCTGTCCACACAGTTTTGAGCATATTTGTTTACGTTTTACAGAAACTAAACTTAAAACCACATGGCTCATTTGCATAAACTAAGAGCTCAACAAAACAGCTCTCTCCTTGTGCCCTGACGCGGTTCAGCTTCTGTCGGATTAAAAAGGACACAAGTGGAATATGAGTGTTCTTTCTGTGACAGAGGGGTGTTCTGCTGTTGGTGAGTCTGTTCTGTGCTTCTATCGCGTTGGAGATGTTTCATGTTAAACTTTTCAGAGATTAAACATCTGCAGGTCAAACACATAGACCTTGTAAGTAAGTTGCAGCAGCCGATTTCGATCTGAGGAAGATGGCAAGTGTAAAAACAGTCTTTTCTCCTACCAAACAGTTCTAGCTCCGCTGTTTCCCGTTTGTCTCTGGTTTGTTTAAACTGTTTTCCGTAATAGCGTCAGATGATCGATGTCACAAACCCAGTGAATCAGGAAGGCTCAAGTCACAGTGACGTGGTCCAATAAGGACGCAGCTAGAGCTCTCAGCTATCAGTGATTTCAGGCATCCACACGGTGCCAGATCAGATCTGTACTCAGATGAATTCGTGGGAGCTGGAGGCACCAGATCGTTCCGTCTCTGGAGCCGTTTTCCATCGGATTAGTGTGAACGAACTCTGCATCCACAACGAAAACGACTGCAATACGTACTAGTGTGGATTTATGCAAAACTTTCAATTTGAAAATAAATATAGGCTACAAATATGTACTAGAGCCCGACCGATATGGATTTAGTTGTGGCCGATATGAAACCGATATAATGGGAGTTGGAGCTGCCGATAGCCGATATAATCGCCGATATATTTAGTGATGTAAAAATTCACTGTAAATCTTGAATTGATTAAAAAACATAGGTTTGGCTCTAGTGGATTCTAAATTGGGTTTATTTAGGCAACATTTATTGTTATTTTGACTCTTAACATCATATTTACAGACAGTAGATTGGCCTAATGGCATTTTTGCATCACATTCTAGCTACTGTTACTGTCACTGCTAGTGATGGGTATTCCAGTTTTGTTTTTGTTTTTTTGGAGAACCGGCTCGGCCCCCTAAAGCAACTGACTCTTTCGGCTCCCAAGCGACTCTCCAAGTTTAGTCCTGGTTTATTCATTTTATGCTGAACTGCAGCCAAATATGCACTTTTTTTAATCCTATGCACACGCAGATTTCTGAAAGTTTCGTTTTCAGCCGCTGCTGCTGTCAAACTACGGGTCTACATGCGGCATGAAGAGAAAAAGTGAGAAAAAGAGAAAACACGGCTCCCAATAAGAAGCAGGCTCCTGTTGTTCGCTCTAAGAGCCGCTTTGATCGCGACCGACCCATAACTCCTAGCTAGTAAACTATCGCTATTAGCCTTTAGCCGTGCGCGCCGCGGTAATTAATTATATGCATAAATGTGGATCATTCACACGTCTATTCACAGCTCATTTACATATCAATACTGGTCCAGTAACAAATATACGGCCAATGTAGTCACTTTACAATAGACCAATAGAAAACAGCCTGTTTATGTGTGGGAGCTACAGCAGCTAATCGCTAACAAAACCTAAACTAGCTTCAAAGTCGATGTATTTCCAACACTCACCGCTCACACAGGCTCCTCCTCACATCACAAGTCTGCACTAATAAATGTCCTTTTTATCCAGACTCAAACTGATTGTCCGAAAAATAATATAATCTCAGTGTTGCGCACATGAACACGTGAGTGAAGTGACGTCACTCTGGTGGTGTGTTCAGGGACAGTACGGACACAGACACAGACAAATTACACCGCAGATAAATACTGATGCGGAGCCACATATTAGGACGTTTATCTGTCTGTAAATTGGATTAAATGAACATAATGTAGAGAGTCTAAGCTTTATAATGAGGTATAACATGCCCACGTGAAATATCGGCCCATATCAGCAAGCATATCGGCCGATAGCCGATATGTCTCCAGGTGCCCATATTGGCCAATAATATCGGCCAGCCGATATATCGGTCGGGCTCTAATATGTACCTTAGAGCAGTTTTGTGATGAATAAATCATAAAATGAATTAAAAAACATGAATAAAGCATAGAAAAACATAAATGTATTCAAAATAAACTATATATCAGCTGTTCTACAAGAGAATATGCGGGAAAAAATCAAGTACAGGGACTTTAAATCTTGCCTGTCTGAACAGTGCCCGCTCGTAACAGTTGCCTGAACATCTGTGCTCTTAATATTTAGTTAACAGTATTTTAATAACAATCCGGTGGAGTCTTGGAGCTATTTTAAGTCTCTGTAATGGAGGGTCTAACCTGCTCCCGGAAACTCCACCACTGCACTGTGTAATCTGATGAGAAACAGATTCGTCTCTATGTAATTACTGTCTCTGTGCATTTCCTTGTTGTTTTTCAGGACATGACTAATATATTGATGATGTTGTTGACTTTGTTTTGTTGTGTTTTTCTAGTGGACGAGTGGCCAAGGAGGTGATAGAGGCCAGTTCAAAGATTCAGAGAGACCCACCCGAGGTCTACAGGTACGTTATGAACAATGGGGAAATAAAGAAGGAAAAATACACACTATACAAAGTTATGAATTTGCAAATCACAAAAACTGAAATGATTAATTGTGTATTTGACTGCCATGTTTGTTTTGGTATAGACAGATGTTGTGATAATACATTAAAGCAGTGGTTTCTTAAGTAGGGAGACTTGAAAGATATAATTTCAAATTCTGACACAGTAATTACTACATTTTTTGTTGAATATAGGTGGAAAAACAATAGACTTCTTGAATAAGTACGGGTTAAACAGCAAGGACACCACGACGCATGAGTGAATGAAGTTTAATGTTATATTAAGTAGGGCCCAATCGATATGGATTTTTTTGGGGGGGCCCATATGATACCGATAAAACAGGAGTTGGAGCTGCCGATAGCCGATATAAAAGCCGATATGTATTTAGTGATGTAAAAATTTACTATAGATCTTCAATTGATGATAAAAATTAGGTTTGGTTCTATTGGATTTTATATTGGGTTTATTTAGGCAACATTTATTGTTATTCTGACTCTTTACTGTCATACTTAAGGACAGTAGGTCGGACTAATGGCATTTTTGCATCACATTCTAGTCTGTAAAGAAAGTAAACTACCGCTATCAGCCTTTAGTGGTAAAGGCGTGCATGCCACAGTAATTAATTACATGCGTAAATGCAGATCATTCACACCTCTGTTCACAGCTCATTTACATATCAGTGCAGGTCCAAAAACATGTGTACAGCCACTACAGTCACTTTACACTAAGCAGGCCTTCCCACGCATAAACAGGCTGTATCTGTGGGAGCTACAGCAGCTAAATAATGAGGAGGAACCAAAAGTAGCTTCAAAACTGACAGATTTGCAACACTCACCGCTCACACAGGGAACTCTCAGATCACAAGTCTTCACAAATAAGTGTCCTTTTAATCCTGACTTAAAACAATCGTCTACAAAAATAATATAATCCAACATGTTGACAGCAGCTGCATGTGTAAACAAGAGCATGTGAGTGACATGAGTCTGGGGATGCGTTCAGGGGCAGTACGACGTCACACATACAGACAAATGACTCTGCAGATAAATACTGATGCAGTGCCACATATAAGGAAATTTATCTGTCTGTAAATTGAATTAAATGGACATAATATAGAGTCTAAGTTTTATAACAAGTTATAACATGCCCACGTGGACAATATTGGCAAGATTCAGTCCAATAGTTGATATTTCTTCCAAGTGTCCATATCGATAATATCAGCCAACCGATATATCGGTCAGGAGGGCGCACGGATTGGAGTAAAGCAGTTTAAATAAGGCTAAACCGAGTAGCTGCTGAGTCTATTAGAAAATAATATTCCTAACTAGGGATACAGCGATACACATACCAGTATGGTTTGATATCAGGTGTCAGTGCTCTGTTGATACCAAGAGCCGATACTGCACTGTAACTGCTCTCCGTCTTATTTGTTGCTTACGTCTCGCCTCTGAGCAGTGGGGTGACCATAAAGAAACACATAAACTGTTCTGCACGTTAAGCTTAATCATGCACAAGTGACTGTATCAAGTATAAATATATTTAGGACTCTTCAAAGGATAGTGCTGCTAGGGTGACCAGATTTCCAAAATAAAAAAACTAGGACATTGCTGGTTTGTGGTGGTTGGTAATAATAAAATGTGAAACGAGTGTGGAATTAAGGAGAATTGCTGTGCAGTCAGTATAACCATATTTTCTTTGTGTTTTTTTCATTTTTAAGCAGCTTTTCTGTATTTTATTTAAACAAATGACAATTTAAGCCTCTCTTTACTGTTGGCAGGGATCAGATTGGTCAAAAATAGGGACACCTGGGACATTTCTTGTATAAAACTGGGACAAATCAGTGGTTTTGGATAAATCTGCTGGGACAGGGGAAACAGGGCTCAAAACTGGGACTGTCCCGGGTAAATAGGGGCATCTGGTCACCCTAAGTGCAGCTCTTGTGTTTACAATAGTAGCATGCTAACATTGCTGAGTGGCACTGGCGATTCTTTGCTTGTGTGTGTATTGTGACTTATCGTTATTGATGAAAGGCAAATGAATAGAACTGGTTCAGAGCTTTTAAAAGATGTATAGCATGTCCGTACTGGTCAAAGAGTGACCGTGATAAAAGATAACACTCACTGTTATGGTGAAAGTACAGTGATTTTGGTAGACATTTAAAACAGCCTCTCAAATAAGTATTCCAAGATGAAAAAGTAGGTTATTCTATAAAAATCCTATGAAATGAATTAGACTTACCAGTATAATAATGTCTGGTATCGGAATTGATTAGTTTCCAAAATAAAGTACTAATACTTGTTTTGGAAAAAGTGGTATCAGTGCTTCACAATTCCTAACCTTTTTGTGTTTGTGTGTTTCTGTGTTATGTTTCAGAGCTCATTTTGGACAGAGTCGAAGCTTCAACTCTCTGAGCCATAAAAACCTCATCATGAACATGGAGCCTCTGGTCCCGGCTCTGCCCTCCCCGAGCGAGTACGAGGAGGCCGCTCCAGACACCAGTGAGTACAGACACACGAGAATAAAGTTTGTAGAGCGATATACTGCTGATGAAAATATCCAATCCAGTCCAACTTTATGTGTATAACACATTTGACCTAACCTGATTCATCAACTCGTTTCATTTCGTGGAAACCGTCTGACCTCACTGCATTAGGATTCTTTCACTCGACGGTAGGCGGGTACTTTTTTTTTTCATTTAACCAATCGCTGCTGTTTGGTCGTGACGTATGTAATGCGCCAAATCCCGTAGGAAGAAGGGCAATAACGGGGACCCAGACAGGCGCTTGAGTTTGACGTCATGGCTTCACAGCTCTTTGCTGATTGGTCGGTGTGCGGTCTACAATTTCCGGGGTTCTTGCAAAAAGTCTGATTCCTGACCTAGTCGCTGGGGAGAAATGAAATTGAGTGGAGGCACTAGGTGGCACCAGCCTGGCTACATTTTACCAACACAAGGTCTCCAAAGTGCTGCACAGAGTAGGTACAATATACACATAATACCAAAAAAAACATTTAAAAAATTTAAATTAGCAAATAAAATCAATAATCAAATATAGATAACAAACGATAATAATGAAACTAATTTACAATGTTAAAAAAAAATACATTAACTGCAATAAATGAACAGCCGAATGAAAAATCTCCGTAGTTAGTTTGTTTTTATAATAAGTTAATACTTTATTCAACCTACAATGGCTCAAACCTTATTTTAGTACAGATAAATGATAAAAAAAAAAAAGTTCCCCTGTATTACACAGAAAACATATTAAGATTCAGAAAACTTTTATTTACAGCATTCTCAGAGCAGTTTTCAAATTAAACTCCATACAACAATATATTAAAATGCAAATAAAAAAACATTAGAGTAGAGTAATTTAATAGAAGAAGGCATGAAAAAATTAGAGATGTGATATAGTAATTATCGTAACAGGCATAAAATATACAGAATATACTTTAACTATAGTAATACTCTTTTAACAGTACTCTTTGTTACTTGTTTTGTACTTTTTGTTATTTCTCCCATCATGAATGTCCCAAGTCCCAAGTGTTTTAGTCACAAAATAGACTAAAACTGACAAAGCTGAAAAATAAACGCACGTATTTTGTACTCGAGTAATTATAAAAGTAACTGTACTCTTACTCTAGCACAGTTTTTGGTTCATGTCTCTGGTCTAAACTGGGCTCCCTGGTGGCTGCACATTTGGCAGAGTGACAAACATTTAATTGAGCAGCTGATGCCCCGCCCCCCATCAGCCCGTTTCCCCGGAGACACCAATCAGAGCGGGTCTAAAAATACCCGCCGTGGTGCGCCCTGAGGCTCGTGGAGGTTTAGGCTGTGGCACACGGGACAGGCCGCCCCTCCTCCTCTGACTCTAGTTATCGACAATCAACGTCAATTAACGGTTTGGATTCTAACGTTGAGTTTGTTTGTCGATGGGACCAGATGCAGATGGACGAGTTTGTGACTTTTTAAAATGTTCCCATATATTTGACCAAAAGGTGTATATTTTTTCTAACGGCTCTTGAGGTTAAACTTAAACTTATTTCTGTAGGAACAGGATGCTCTGAATGTATAAGTTAAGTGAAAAATAACTTTGGCCCACTGCGAAATGTTTAAAATGAACTAGTTCTGTTTTTAGACTTACAAACTTTATTGATCCACAAGGGAAATTATTTGTAAAAAAAAAATATAAATGGTAATAATAAATTCTAAATAAGTAGAAAAAAAGATAAGCAAGAGACATAATTATATAAGGGTGAGCGGTTGTACGGTTGTAGGGAGTATTAACTGTTACATAAGCGTGAGTTGTTGTGCAGTTGTAGGGAGTATTATATTACATAATGATGAGTTGTTGTGCAGTTGTAGGGAGTATTATCCATTACATAAGGGTGAGTTATTGTACAGTTGTAGGGAGTATTATCTGTTACATAAGGGGAAGTTGTACAATTGTAGGGAGTATTATCTGTTATATAAGGGTGAGTTGTTGTGCAGTTGTAGGGAGTATTATATTACATAAGGGTGAGTTGTACAGTTGTAGGGAGTATTATCTATTACATAAGGGTGAGTTGTTGTGCAGTTGTAGGGAGTATTATTTTTTGCATAAGGGTGAGTTGTTGAGCAGTTGTAGGGAGTATTATATTACATAAGGGTGAGTTGTACAGTTGTAGGGAGTATTATCTATTACATAAGGGTGAGTTGTTGTGCAGTTGTAGGGAGTATTATTTTTTGCATAAGGGTGAGTTGTACAGTTGTAGGGAGTATTATCCATTACATAAGCGTGAGTTGTTGTGCAGTTGTAGGGAGTATTATTATTGTCACATAAGGGTGAGTTGTTGTACAGTTGTAGGAGTATTATTTTTGCATAAGGGTGAGTTGTACAGTTGTAGGGAGTATTATCCATTACATAAGCGTGAGTTGTTGTGCAGTTGTAGGGAGTATTATCTGTCACATAAGGGTGAGTTGTTGTACAGTTGTAGGGAGTATTATATTACATAAGGGTGAGTTGTTGCACAGTTGTAGGGAGTATTATCTGTCACATGAGGGCGAGTTGTTCTGTTGTACGAGTTGTAGTTGTAGGAGTATTATCTGTCACATAAGGGCGAGTTGTTGCACAGTTGTAGGGAGTATTATCTGTCACATGAGGGCGAGTTGTTCTGTTGTAGGGAGTATTATCTGTCACATAAGGCGAGGTTCGAGTATCTGTCACATAAGGGCGAGTTGTTGCTCTGTTGTAGGGAGTATTATCTGTCACATAAGGGCGAGTTGTTGCTCTGTTGTAGGGAGTATTATCTGTCACATAAGGGCGAGTTGTTGCTCTGTTGTAGGGAGTATTATCTGTCACATAAGAGTGAATTGTTGTACATTTGTAAGTAAGTTTTCACTTATAATAAAGCACAATTATTTTACAGTTGTTTAAACATGGAACGTAACATTAAAATTATAATTATTTATATCCATAATATTTTCAGCAATTTTATTTTTATAACTATCATATTGTAATTTTTTTAACCATGACAATTGTGACATAAAACTTCAGTATATAGTATAACTTCAGTATAAGTGTGTTCGATTGCATAAACAAGTTTCCTTCCACTGAATAAGCAACAAAATTTTAGTGCGGTCGCGAAGAAAGGTTCCATTTTATAACCCAAGAAAACAGGATTGTGAACAAACGTAACATTACACATTTAAAACTTCCACTTTTTTTTTTACGTTTTATTTTAGCCTTTGTAGTTTTGCATTTTCCCATTTCCTTCTCATCACTTGAACACAGCTCAGAGGAATGTATCTGTGAGCGCGGCTGTGTGTGGCTGCTTTCTGCTCCACTGAACCTTCAAATGGACCATAGATTTAATATGGACTTTATGTTGTGTAGCACGACTGTGAAATTTCTCAATCTATAAGCAGAAAAAAGCAGATTTAATTTAACAGTTCTGACTCACACGTGATGCTGTTTTCAGTGTCCTCTGCCCTCTTAATGAATTCATCATTGTTGTACATGTTTTGGAGGCGTGGTCATGACCTGAGGCGAGAGGACTGGATGTGTTTTAACGCTGTTTAATATCGTTTCCATCAAGAGTCAATGGACCAGTGAAAAACATGGAAATCAATTTTGTAGCGTGTTTTATTTTCAGTGTTGAAGGTAATTACGCCAAAATGAAGATCTTAATGAAGATTTTCAAATGCTGGAACTTAAAATAAAAATAAAATGCACAAAGAGAATAGACAAGAGCTTTGCATAGAATAAGGTTCAAACAGGGCTGGTTAATTCATTGTAATTTCATTGATTCCTGTTTTCAATCATTAAAATTGAGAAAAATTGCAAAATAGTGAACTTGAGGATTATTATGAAACAGGTTTACTGTTGATTTATTTTTACTTGCGAAAGAGGATTATGGTAGCTTGATTCATCAGCCGGTTTCACTTTGTGGAAACCGTTTGACCTCGCAGTGTTAGGATTTGTTCGCTCGATGGTAACCGGGTACTTTGTTAATTTAACCAATCGCTGCTTTTTGGTCGTGACGTATGTAATGCTCCGTTAACAGGGATAACTGGTATATTAAGCTTTTCCGAAATCCCGTAGGAAGAAGGGCAATAACGTCTTTCCCTTTGATAAAATTCACCAAACATTCTCTTTGTTCCGGCTTTAAATCCTCGATCTCGGGAATCGTTGACAACACAGAATGTGTGGCTCTTGGCTGATTGGCTGGTGTGCGGTCTACAACTTCCAGGGTTCTTGCAAATCGTCTAGTGTATTTTGATTCCTGACCTAGTCGCCAGAGAGAAATGAAATTGAGCAGAGGCACTAGGTGGCATTAGCCTGGCTAGGGTTATGGTGTAAAATGTAATAAATTTGAGCTATTAAAATTAGATTAATTATCTATGTAATTGAAGGCAGCGTATGTCTTAAATAATAATATATGATAAGAATGAAAATGTAAAGTGCTTCCCTTGTTGGAAAGATGAACAGTTCCTGCTCTGACTTTGATTAAAATTCAATTAATCGTCCAGTGTATGCACAAAAATCAATCAAGATTTTATTTCTTGCCCATATTGTCCATCTCTAAAATAAAGTGTACACATTTAGTACAAATATTTAATAGCATGTTTAAATGGGCTGGGAATCTTCTCCCCTCATTTTGAGAAAAAAATAAAAAATAATAATAATTTAGTAGAAGTCTACAATATTTGTAAGTCCTCTGTCATATTGTTTCCATCTTTTTCAAAATCAAGCACCAAGGCAAAGTTGAGTTTAAATATCTTGGGCATATCACCACTGTGGACATCCTTTGGTTCTTGTACAAAGGATGTAAAGTTGTTATTGTTAAAATCATATTGTGCACTGTTGTACACAGTCCAACTCTGGATTAATTATACAAATGCCAGTTTGCAAACACTGCAGGTGGTCTACAATGACACTTTGCAGGTGCTTTTGAGGAGGCCACGATGGACGAGTGCAACAGAGATGTTTGTTACTGCACGAGTGTAGGAGAATATTAATGTA